GTCCTCAGACTGCCTTCCAGTTTCCCACAGAGCATCTGAGAGACGCCCTGCCAGGCTGGTGTGGGGTCCTCCCACGTTTCTGTGGCGGTTGTCACAGGTCTGAACCTCACTGTACTAGGGAAATGTTGAGTGCTGCATTTTGACTCTTTGCAAACATTCCTGAGGTCCAGCCATCTGTGAATTCTTTGATATGAACGTCTGTTAATCATTTCTGACACTGAGCGTGAATCCATTCACGTCCTGAAGCTCGCCCTCGGTGTCTGGTTTCGTGGGCACTCTGCACTGCCTCCCCCGCACTGAAACCAGACCCCCATCAGCCTCCCGATGTGGAATTGTCTACAGCAAGTTAAAAGGCTGCAGAAATGTGAGCACCTCGCAGGACCAAAGGCTTTTGTGTGTGCACAAAAGCTCCCTGCGGCTGCTTTGGCCATCTAAGTGGAGAGCAGCGGGGAGGCCTGCACACAGGAAAGAAAACACGCTGGAGGAAAATGACAGGGGGCCCCCAGTGACGGCTTCTGTATCAGGATTCCCAAACTGCACCAATGCAGAGAGCTTAGACTTTCAGGGCCCGTGCTTGAAGTGCACAGTGGTCCTCGGATGTCTCAGATAATGGGGGGAGTCAGTGTGATGGCTTGTGCTCCCTGGCCATGTTTCTGCCTGCTCAGAGCAGACTGTTCCAGCCAGCGTGGCACACCAAGAGGTGTAGACGCCGAGGGGTGTAGACATCGCACACCCTATGCCTCTGGTCTGTGTCTGTTGTGCCTTCTTTGCTCATCCTGTGTCCTGGGCTCAGTCATTGCTGAATTTTCTGTGTCCCAACGTGTGGCCTGAGGGTCAGTGGCCCCCTTAAAGGGTGCCTTGTGGACAGAAATGAGGGGGGGAGTCCTCCAGGCCTGGCCACCCACCTTCCAAGATGGACAGATATCTCTGCCCAATCCTGCACCTGATATCTCTCAATAAAGGAATTTTGAAAAACTCAAATATTGCCATTTGGTCCCTTTAATCACATAGTGCCTTTTTCCTTTGTGTAAATGTATGGCAAGTTTTTAATTCACCTTCAATGCTAGAAAGTAGCCTGTCTTGTTTGATCCTTTGTTCCTCCTTACTTTGTATCTTGCTGGGACCTGAAAGCCACAGAGCCCTTTTCTCTTTGGCCAGATATCTGAATAAGCAGCTTAAATTGCTTTCTCTTTATGAAGCATGAAGTGGGGGTTGCTGGGTCGTGTGGGGTGTACTGGAAGCAGGCTGGCTCTGTTACTGTCTGTGGGTCTCTTTTCCACTGTGTGCCAGACTTCACCATCATCTTCTTTTTCTGTTTTTTCTTTTAGGGATGTGTGCTGGGGATGGAACCCAGGATTCACACATGCTAGGCAAGCCTCTGTCACATCCCTGGTCCCCATTTTGTTTTCTTTAATGAAAACAGCTGACCTGAGTCCCAAGTGCACCTGTCACCATCCCTGTCTGGCTTCCCCATCAGGATTCGAGCCTCCTACGCAGTTACCCACATACCTGGAAAGCCCTTAGGGGAACATCCATCTCTCACCACATTTTGTCACTCACAGCGACCTTGACAGGGAGGCTAAATGATGTGTTTGATCCTATCTCCCAGGTAAAAATGGAGACAGCTCTTCCCAAAGTCCCTCCAGGTAGATAGGGGCCGGTGGTAGTGAGTGGCAGATGCCCAACTGGGAAACTTTTCTTGTTCTCATTGAGATGAAGGTGACATGGCCCGAGAGTGGCGTTTAGTGTGTTCACAGTGTTGTCGCAAGCACTGACGTCCACCTTCAGAAGGACACTCCATAGCTGTCAGCAGCCGCTCCCTGACGTGCCTCTGTGGACGCGTCTGTCTGTGTTTTGTGTGTGTGGAATTCTGTAATGCACAGCTTTCTGTGTCTGACTCATTCACTCAGAATCCTGTCTCCAGTCTATCCAGGTGGGAACAGCACCTGTTCCCTTTCATGGTGGAGGGATACCCATCACGTGGAAGGAACAGCTTGTTTCTGAGTTCACTTGCTGAGGGGCTTGGGGTTGTTTCCACTTCGGTGGGATTGCGAATTGTGCTGCCGTGAACATACGTGACCTGGTTTATGCTTGAGTGTATTTTCTCTGGTGTGTGTCCCTGGGAGTGGCCCACTGGCCCTGTGGAGGCTCTGAGGAAGGTCCTGTGTCCATCCTGGCTGGCTGCTACATTATTTTCCTGCCACCCTTCCCTCACTGCATGGGTGATGTGACCACACAGTGGGAACTTAGCCCATTGTCAAATAGATTACCAGTCCCTGGCCATTTGTTCGGGAGCAGCATGAAGGGGTGGGCAGTGGGTGCCTGGCTTGCTGCTCCAGCCCTGATCCCACAGGCTCTTTCTGCCACCCTGTGTCTCCTCACACTGGTCCTTTCTGCTTTTTTTTTTTTAATTCATTTGTGGTGCTGCGGATGGAGCCAGTACTTGGTAAGCAAGTGCTCCATCACCGAGCTGTGCCACCAGCCCTCCTTCCTGCTCTTGACCCATCTAGTGCTTGCTTCTTTGACCACAAGGGCCGTGACTTTTGCCCACAAGGTCTGCACACCTTGTGTAGGAGGGGGATCAGGAAGTGTGTGCTGGGTGGTGGCCTCAGCAGCCTTTCCCCAAAGCCCCGCTTGCCACTCAGCTTGGCCAACCCCAGACTAAAGTCAGCTGTCAGCAGCGGGTGCCTATGTTAGCAGGAGCTACCCTGGATACAAACCTGGACATTTGGAGTTTTTTTGTTTCTCTCACCCAGTTTTCTTTTCCCTCATCATTTGTGTTTGAGTCTTGCTGCTCTGAGCTGCTGATTACAAATGGCAGTTTACAGCGATTGCAATTTTGTAAATAGCAGCTTAGTTTCATTAAAGCCTCCCGAGTGTAAATGCTGTTTACATCCTCCTCCAAGTCTCGCTCCCATCACCAAAAATGTAAATTACAAGCTGTGAAGATAATATGGGGCTCCCCTGATCGGGATGCTTCTTCTTTCTCGAGGATCACACCTAACATTTAAGCACCCCTAATAGGCCCTTCACGTGTTTTCCAAAGCAGGCTGCTGTTACCGAGGGAGCAAACAGATGGTTTTCATAACCTCCTAACTATTGCTTAAAGCAAGGATGAAATCTCCAAAGACTCTCAAACCTGATGATTTCATCCACGATGTAAAAGATGGCCCATGAACTAGGATACCTGGCCTCCGTTGGATTTACCTAAGAAGGATCTGCTGGCGACTAATGTATCTTAAGTTGTCATCAAATTCCCACAATAAGAACAGATGTTTCTCATATTAAATCCCTATGTTTACACAGAGGAACTACAGTGGTGTGTCTTATTCAGGTCAGATATTTGGATGAGGAAGAGTGGAAAGCTCAGCTGGGGTGGTTACATACAGCCTCATAGGCTGTGCACTGCACAACTCCAGGGTATGCTGCCTGGGTGAATGAGCTAGTGTTACCAGTAGCTTCACCAGTCAAGTGGATGCTTTGTTCTATGCAAAAATTAAGATTTCTTTTTGAATCCACTATGTCATCATTCCCTATTAAAAGGTATCAAGGATGATTTAATTCTATTCTGTTTTTACAGTGATTTCCAGTAATGTAAAGAAGGCTGAGGTAGCACTGTGTTATGAATTCACATTGACCCTAGAGCTAGAGAGAGGAGGCATTGGGCCCATCATTTGGGGTTTTTCCTTTTGAGATGTTTTCTTACTGGCCTCAAACTCCTGGAGCTCAAGCAATCCTCCTGCCTTAGCCTCCTGAATGCTGAGACTAGAGGGCCTGCACCCCCACAGAATTAGGCCCACTGTTTTCAGGATGGGGGAGGGGAGGAAGGAGGCACCTTGTGTTGAATGCCAATCTTGAGGCCCGATGGCACCAACTGGCACCTCTGACTTGGTCCTCACCGTCCCCAGGGATGCAGGTGTTAGTATTCAATATGTACATGAAAAGGGATGTCCACCTGCCAGTGCAATGCCCCCTGGCTGCCTCTGTGCTCCTGGACCTCTGATTTCTGCATGCCTGTCATCACATGGCCACCATGGACGGTCCAGTGGGCTTCTCCTACTGGAAGGACTTCAAGGGCTGTCTGGGCAGTGCCCAAGGCTGTGAAGGCCGTGTGTGGTGGGGGGAGGCATGCCTGGATGTCACCCACAGCTTCCTGGAGAAGGAGGAGCTTCTCCAGTGATCCTGGGCAGGAAGGAGCTGTGGTAGGGAAGTGGCCAGCCCAGGACCTGAGTCAATAGATCTGTGAGGCCAGCAGGGGGCTGAGTGGTCAAGAGGCTCATGCAGAGATGGACCTGGTATGGGAGCACAGGGGTCAACTTTGCTCCAGCCAAGCGGCTGGAAGGTCATTCCAGGGCAAGGCAAACATGGGTACTGGAGTGACCATGATGCCTGGGGGTTGACAGGCTCCTGGCCTGGACAGGAAGCTCCATGCCACATGTGGGGAGGGGCATCTTCAGGCCAGGTGTTGGTATCCTGGTGTCTGTGCCTGAACACAGAGTCAGTCAGGCAGGGTCCTGGAGAGAATCCCTAGGGCCAGAGGTTCCCCATAAGTGGCTGTTGAGAATGGAAATGTATCCTGGGATACTGGTGGAAGGACCACCAGTAACGCCACTGGACAGCAGCCCTTTCTTCTCTCACAGGCTGGAGGGCTGAGGTCAAAGCCAGGTGTGGGCAGGCCGTGAGGCTCTGGGGGAAGGTCCTTCCTGTCCCTCTCTGCCGTTGCCCTTGGTGTCCTTGGCTTGCAGACAGTTGCTCCAGCCTCTGCCTTCCTGTGTGTTCCCTTAGCTCAGGGTCCCTTGCTCCAGCTTCGGCTCATTTAACTCACCACTGCGGCCTTCTAGGAAGGCCCTGCATTGGAGGGTGTAATTCTTTGCACCCCATGCAACAGGCATGGGGAATCCCTTGTCCACGTGCCGCCCTCCGTGGGTGATGTGCCGGGGGTGCCCACTTAGGGTACTGGGAGACAACGCTGACACTGTCGGTGCTTTCTGTCTCCACAGCCCAACATTGGCCGCCTGGGCCTTCCCCATGGGCCATCTGGAGAGAAAGTGGCCGTGGTGACCGTGGACGACTGTGATGCAGCTGTGGCTGTGCACTTTGGGAGCTACGTGGGGAACTACAGCTGCGCTGCCCAGGGTACTCAGAGTGGCTCGAAGAAGTGAGTGTTGTGAATAGGGCATTCAGGGCATCTGTGCCTGCCCAAGGCCATGGCTCCAAACAGTTACCCTGGGCCCTCACAGTCAGACTGGCATAGTCTGCCTCAGTATCCCCGGTGCAGGCTGGCATCAGATTCCCTCCCTGTTGCTGGGGTACCCCTCCTCTGAGAAATAGAGCTTTCTAGAATAAGTTCCCTTATAAGTATCTGTCAGAAGAGTGGCTGGGCCAACCCCAGGTTGTGATGGCGGCTTGCTGATGTAGACACCATCCCGGGATCGCTGGCTACTTCCTGACAAGCATGGGTCCCTAGACCCTGAGCTCTACTGGGTGGAAGCAGCCAGGTCTCTCTACTGGTCCTGGAGTCTCCCAGTGCTCATTCTAACTCAGGAACAAGGAGTTTCACATGGACACGGCTGGCCTCTCCCTCGTTTCTTTTTTTGTGGTGCCAGCCTCAAGAGAAAACTAGCACGGGCTCTCATTGGACCCATGGCGGGTGTGTGTGCATACTGAATATCTGGGTTTTTGTTTATTTGTTTGGTTTTGAAACCGTTCTCACTATGTTACCCAGGCTGGCCTCAAACTCTTGATCTTCCTGCCTCAGCTTCCTGAGGGCCGGGATGACAGGTGTGCACCACCACATCTGTCCTTGAGTAAACATTTTGGAGGTCACGTTCAGGTGAAGCTGATGTATCCCTATAATCTGGTCAGTGAAGGACCAGGACAGTCACACTGCTTTTTCCCAATCCCCACTCACCATTTTCTCCCACTGTTGGTAAACTTACACTGGAGGGTAGAACCCTGGCCCTGGTGGTGCCAGGGTCTGGATTTGGACTAGGACTTGAACTTGATAAGTATATACTCTAGTACTAGAGCCAGACCACCAGTCCTTTCCTTTAGTTGTTGTTCAGATAGTGTCTGCATTTTTGCCTGGGGCCAGCCTCTGACTATGATCCTCCCACCGATAGCCTTCTGAGTAGCTGGGGTGACAGGTGTGTGCCACCATGCCTGGCTTGGGTTCTAGTTTTCTTTTGACTGCCTTTCCTGGAGGGCCCTAGGCGGAGTCCCTGCTCAGCATTGACTTCCCTCATTGATCCATCTCCACTTGAGGAGTGGACCTCCCTGGGTGGTTGGGGCTCCATGGTGGCCACTGGTTCACCTGAAACAGCCAGTTTGTCAGTATGTAATGGAAGTGTGAGGAAACTGAGGCACAGAGATTCTGTGAGGAGCCCTTGGCAGCCCTAGAAGCAGGTTTCACCTTTCATTCTGGCCTCTGGTCACTGCTTCTGATTCCAGCCTGCTTCACGATTGACGCCTTTCTAGCAGCAGAGGCTGCAGTGACATTACGGTGGAGCCAAGCCTCATGGTGCCTCTTACCTGGATGTCACAGTGGTTTGTTTTGCCTCCCCAGGTCTCTGGATCTGACAGGCCCTCTGCTCCTGGGAGGCGTCCCCAACCTGCCGGAAGACTTCCCAGTGCACAACCGGCAGTTTGTGGGCTGCATGAGGAACCTGTCCATCGATGGCAGGAGCGTGGACATGGCAGGATTCATCGCCAACAATGGCACCGTGGCAGGTGAGTGGCTGCCAGGGTACCATGAGGGGCTGGTCCCAGGGAGGGTCCCTGGAGTGCCATCTTTCTCCTGAAAACGTGTGCAGGTATAGGCATCTCCTGTGAGTGGACCCTGGAGCACATTTACCAGAGATGCCGCCCTTGGGCTCTGTTTCCACTGCTGAGCTGGCTATGGCTGACCTGAAGGCACATGATCCCAAAGTCTTGAGTGTGTCACAGGTGACCAGGCCCGGTTTCGATGACAGCCTGGAGACCCACAGTGTCTCCAGGCTGTGTCTCCAGGATGTGGACAGAGAATTCTGCCCATCTCAGTCTGATGCTTCTACCATGGCAGGCGGGTCCCAGGCCATCTCCCTTCATGCCTGGCTCATGAGGGTGAGTCCTCCGGGGGAGGCTCCCCTGTGTTCCTCACAGTGAGGCCAGGCCATGTGCTCTGCCTTGCCAGGCTGTGCTGCTCAGAGAAACTTCTGTGATGGAACCTCATGCCAGAATGGTGGCACCTGTGTCAACAGATGGAACACGTACCTGTGCAAGTGTCCACTCCGGTTCGGTGGGAAGAACTGTGAGCAAGGTGAGGGCCTGGAGCTGCCATACCTCAACCATGGCAGTCCTGGGGCAGGGAGGAGGGGGGATGGAGCAGCTGCCAGCTCTGCTGTGTTGATATTCATTGGCAGCTCAAGCTGCAGGTGGCCGTGGCCCATGTGCACAGGCACTGTGTGTGGCCATCCCAGTTACAGAGTTCCTGATTTGGGCTGCTACATCCCAACTTTGGCTGTGCCAGAGAACACAGCTGCCATGATTTGAATTTATAAGAGCAGGAAGCAGATGCCTGGAACTCACCAGGTCAAACTGCCCCAGCCGCTGTGCCCAGCGCTGCCTTTGGTCTTTCAGGTCTCGTGGCTGTGACTGCTGAGTCCCAGTGGCAGGGATTAGGGTGTAGATCATGGGAACCTGGTGCTGTCGGATCAGTATGATCCACTTCATGCCTCAGGCTGTGCCTTGCCCTGTGAGTTTTCCAAGTGTGAGAGCCAAAGAGGTTGTCCCTTATGGTCCCCAAGTTATCTGGGAGCTCTCATGAGCCAGCAGGTCTTCCTGCTGTGCTGTTCACCAAGAGCAGAGAAGCAGCCTGCGTGCCTGGTGGCTGATACTGTAGCAGGTCATACTGCTGGAATGTGTGCGTGTGTGTTCCAGTGGGCTGCAGACCCACACTGTCCTCACCAAGAGAATGACTGCCACAGAACCCTGCTCCTGCCCAGGCCCCATGCACGTAGGGTGGGACAGGTAGGCTGAGCTGACAGGCATCCCGAGTCAGGCATCCCAGCCACTCCTCTGCCTCGTCCAGCTTGAGGGCCCCTTACCACACCTCGACCATGGATAGAAACCCTCAGGCATTGCCTCTTCTCCGGAAGTGACGCAGACCCCCAGGTGGCAGCTGCAGAACTCATTGCTGGGATGCTGAGCGCCAGATTTGTTACATATACAAGTCTGAGACTGGCCTTTGTGTTAAAATGCAAAGAGTCCAGAATGCCTCCCCAGGACCTTGCTCTGAGGCTGCCTGACTTCAGGAGGTCCCTGATCTGTATCCACAGTCATGCCCCACCCCCAGCGCTTCAGCGGTGAGAGTGTTGTATCCTGGAATGACCTAGACATTACCATCTCTGTGCCCTGGTACCTGGGGCTGATGTTCCGGACCCGGAAGGAGGACGGTGTGTTGATGGAGGCTACTGCTGGCGTGTCTTCCAGGCTCCATCTCCAGGTGAGTGGGGTTATGTGCCACCTGGACACCTGCAGAGCAGAGAGGGAACAAGGTGCAGGGGTTTTCTGGGGTACCTCAGAAGGGCTCCTCTACTCTCCTACCTTCTGTTCTCACCCCACCAGTGATAACCAAAGAGGGAAGCATGAGCTGCTTTCTCCAGCAGAAGTACAGCTGTGCCATTGAGTGCAGCTGTGAATTCCCACCAGAATTTCCTTTCCAGCTCCTTCTTCCCTTCCTCACAGGCTAGCAGTGGAGCACAGGTCACAGGGCTGTGGCCACTCACCCAGGATGCATGCTAGGCGGCAGCTCTGCTCTCTTTCCCCTGGGGGTCGGGCCTCTTTTCTGACTTAACTTGTGGCATTTCAGAGCTGGATGTGGCAGAATTACAGCAGGTGGAAGTAGCAGGCTTCCATCAGTTAAAACTGTGGCCAGCCAGTGCAGACTCTGAACATTGCCATTCATTGTGTCTGGAAGGGTGGCCCGGCTAGACGGGGTCCAAGGACTCGTCGCAGTGCCTCACACGCTGTTCTCTGCATTTTCTGGTCTTTACTATTTTGTTATTTGAAACATTGGATGATAGTTCCTGGTTGGGCATCATGGTACATGCCTGTAATCCCAACACTCAGGATTAAGAGCTCGAGGCCAGCCTGGGCTACATACAGATCGTTCAGTGCGCTCTATCCTCAGGTGTGTTGCGTCACAAATAGCTTCCACTTAGTCTTCCCAGAGTGAGAGGTACTCCACTGAGAAACAACGAGAAGCTTCTTCCATTCTAGAAAACACCTAGGGCTCCTTCATTGAGCTGGGCTGCCTGCGGCCCTCGCCTCTTGCTTGCCTTGGTGAGACAGTGGGATCTACCCAAGCTCTGGGAATCACTGCTTCACCAGGCAGACAGCCACAGGGATCCCCATGGAGGTGACAGACCACACCAGGCTGCAGGCCTACAGCTCACACGCCTCTCTTGGTGTCTCTGCCAGTTTCCATCTGCAGTAATGTTGGGGACAGATGTTCTTGCATAAACCTGTGGCCCACAACATCTCTGATCAGCCCCCAAAATATCCTGGCAATTCTCCCTCCTTGAAGCTCCTTGGGTGACTCTGCTGAGACCTAATGTTCCTCCCTGAGGAGGAGTGACCCATGGGAGTCAGGAGCAAGCAGCCCAGGGGAATTGCACCTGAGCAAGGCATTCCGTCTTGATTTGAAGGAATCCGTAACTGGGTGTTTCTTTCTTTCTTCTAGGCTTTTTTCAAGTATGTATATGTGTACACATGTGTGTGTCCATGTGTTTGTATGTGTGTATGTGGGAGCGTATGTCTGTGTGCATGTGCCTCTGTGTATGTGCATGTCTGTGTGGGTATGTGTACATCTGTGTACATGTGTCTGCACGTCCTTCGTGCATGTGTCTCTGAGCACGCATGTGTTCATGCCTGTGTGTGTATCTGTGCACAGGCACACATTTGTGTACATCTGCGTACCTGTCTCAGTGCATGCACGTGTGTGCATCTGTGTGTGTCCATGTACGTGCATTGGTGCATATGTATCTGTGTGCATGCATGCATGTCTGTGTGTGCATGTGTCTGTGTACATGAGTGTGGCAGTGCATGTGGGGGACCTGGGTGCATGTGGACTTCCTTCCCCCATATGCAGCACAGCCATCCCGGGATAACAGCTCCAGGGATCGTAGCTTGGCAGTCAGGAAGTTCCTTGTGGAACTGGCGCTCACCCTTTCCACTGTTCCTGTGTCCTCACGGAGCTGTGGCTTGTTTTTTTTCCACTCTCTTCTTTCCCTCGCAGGAGGTTGAAGTGGGGTTGCATATGCTTAGAGGTGAGACAGACCTTAAGCTTCTGTTCCACACCGAGGACACTGAGGCCTAGAGACTGCAGTGCAGGCCCTGTGACTCACTCATCACCTGCGTTCCTGGGGTGGCCACAGGACGCCTCTCATTGTCAGAAACAGAACCCCACAGAAACAGTTCTGTGGGGCAAGCTCAGTATAATAAGTGAGGGGGACAAAGGGGATGCCCAGGGCCCTCCCCTCCCCCAGCTCCCTGTCAGAGGTCAGTGGAGGGTAGGACTCTTGACAGATCAGCTAGCACAGGCCAAGGAAATGCTGGGGGACAGAGCCCAGCTGCGAACCTGCCCGCCTCCACCTGTCCCCGCACACCGGGATCACAGCCAAGCAGCATCTCCCAGCATGGCCTGCTCAGAGCATCTGGAGGTGTGGCCTGGGTCGGGTAAATGCAGCTGTCACACTTTCGTCAGCTCTAATTTCACAAGTTTACCTGGTAACACCAGAAGCTCACGCTGGGCCAGAATTTGGAAGCGCAGTCCTTCCTGTGGATGGCATTTCTCTGTGGTTGTTTCTCTGTTGGAGAAAATTAAATGGACTGGTTTCGATTCAGGTGATGAATTGGAGTTCTCGAGGCATTTGGCATCAGGGTCCCTGTTGGACAAAAGTACAGTACCAAAAGCTGCCTTGGCCGGATGCCGACTGAGCAGTGATGCTATGGGTCACTCGTCCACAAATTAAGGGGTTTGGGCAGGGACTGAACCAGCCCTCCCTGTGCAGGACTGGGTGGCACGAGGGGCAGCCATGAGGGATCCTGCAGACCCCCGTGAGCACCCAGAAGCTGGTGTGTGGACATTCCAGGAAGGTTCTGGTGAGTTCTGGGGACATGCTCAGCTTACAGGCCTCCTGCAGATCCCGGGAGCTGTGCAGGGCCCTGAAAGACCCTGTCTGCCGCATGCGGGCCAAACAGGGCTGTGTCCTCACCCACAGCCCAGACATTTTGGGTGATTGCTGTCAGGCACCCCAAATCCACCTGCAGTCGTTGACACCTCTCTTCAGTCTATGACAAGTCCAAGGTGGAAGGCAGCCCCTGCAGCCTACTCCACTGCTACCACTTCTGTTTGCAGACAGCGTCCTTTCCACTGTCCTTCTGCTCACTGCAGAGATTGTGAGCAGGACAGGGAGAGAGAGCAGCAAGTGAAACCTCTGTAGAACAGGACATAAAATGTAGAAAGGTGAGAAGTTATCCCCGTGGAGACCAAAGGTCACCTGCTGCACTTCCTTTCCATTCAGTTAAGAGCCAGTTTCTGATTTCCACCATGAATTCATCGGAGACCGATGGGTGACTGAGTTAGAGCATGAGCATCTTCTAGGAAATCATTGCCCTTGTTTTTAGCATAATTGGTCAGAGAGCTTGTGCTGTATGATTTGAGACCTTGGAGCTATGTGAGACTTGCTTTACAGCCCAGATTGGCTCAGTTTTTGGCAGTGTTTGTTCTGTGTGCGCTTGAAAAAGGATGTGTGCCATGCTGTGTGAGGCTTGAAGTTCTGCGTGCGTCAGAAGATGCAGTTTAACTGTGCTGTTCAAATGTATGACATCATTAATTTTTGTCTGTTTTCTCAGTTACTGAGAGAAGCAAGTTCAAAGTCTCCAAGCTCTGATTGTAAATTTATCCACTTTGGAAATCTGTCTCTCTGTGCTATGTTTCTAAGCGCATTCTAATTTAGAATTGTTTTCCTGGCAAGTCGGCTCTGTCGTCATTATCTCTACCGATGGTTTAATATAGCAGCACCAGCTTTCTTCTGGTTGGTGTTTGCATTGTGTCTCTTTTTCTACCTTTCACTTTCAACATTGGTATCTTTAGATTATAGGTATGTCTCTTTTAAGCAGTTTTTAATAGTTGGTTGGTTTTAAAATGTAATCTCCTTTTTTTGGGGTGGTGGTGGTAGTACTGAGGTTTGAATTTAGGACCTCGTGCTTGCTAGGCAGGCACTCTACCAGCTATTTTTGCTTTTGTTATTTTTCAGGTAGGGTCTCACTTTAGCCTGGGCCAGGCCAGATCACAATCCTGTTTATGCTTCCTGCACAGCTGGAGCAACAGGAGCACACACCATGCCCAGCTTTTACTGGTTGAGAAAGGGGTCTCCTGAACTTTTTGCCCAGGCTGGCCTTGAACTACGATCCTCCTGATCGCCACCTCCCAAGTAACTAGGATCACATGCTTGAGCTAGCATGCCCAGCCCCATTTTCTGATTTTTGTTACATGTATTCAAACACGGTAGCTTGGCCCTTATGAAATGTAACACAGCCGGAACTAAGAGTCTAATGTTTCTGTGAAAGTCCTGTGGTTCCCATGGCTGTTTTCAAGTCTGGACTGCTGACCCTGTCATCTGGATTCCAGTGGAGCTGTTTCCACTCTTCCATGCTTCTTTTGGTTTTCAGGCATGCCGTCTTGTCTCCTCATTTGCTTGGTTGTTTTTAACTGAGTGCTGGGCACTGTATGGAAAACCTGTAGAGATTGATAGATCACCTCAGGGACATCATTATCTACATGGCTGTGTCTGCAGTAGCTGGGGACCCCGGCCATCCTAGAACATGCTGGTGTTGTCACAGACTGCAGAGAGTCCACGCTGGGCACCCATTCCTGCAAGATGTGCTCTGAATCTTATCTACTCCAAGTGTAGAATCCTTAGGCTCCCAGTCTGCAGCCTGGAGACTGGAGATGCCCTTAGCAGGCCCTGGACTCCAGTCTGTACCCACAGCATCCCAGAGAACTGTGTCCAGCTTCCAGCCTCAGTCTTCAGGACCTGCCAGCATCCCTGGGGGAAGCAAGCCTCAAGCTCACTTCTGTCTTCCTGGCCATGCCTACTGTCACTTGACACTTCACCCAGATGCCCTTCAGTCTTGTTTTCCTAGGTGTTCTCAGGAGGATGGGTCCAAGTCACCTAGATCTTCATTAGGGCAAGACCGGGGCATTGCCTCGGCCATATCGTGAAACACCATTGCAGGCTGGCTGCAGTGCCGAGCTGTTTTCTCATGCGTGTCAAGAGGCATGTCATGAGGCTCAGCAAATTGAAAACTCGCCTGATTTTTGAATCCGTCTTCAATCCAGTGCCATGTCACGTGTCTCTTTGAGTAGCTTTGCTACTGAAGTAACAGAATTTTTCTGTGTTGTCGCCGTTGCGCCAATCGGTCATTGCTTTCTCTGCTCTACAGATCCTAAACAACTATGTCCAGTTTGAGGTGTCCCATGGCCCCTCTGACATGGCATCCATGCAGCTGTCCAGGTCTCGTGTGACTGATGGGGAGTGGCACCACCTCTTGATAGAGCTGAGGAGCGCCAAGGAGGGCAAGGATATCAAATACCTGGCAGTCGTGACCCTGGACTATGGGATGGACCAGGTGAGTAGGCACTTGAGTCCTCTTTGGAATGGACCCTTTGTCAGGCCACTGGAAAGCTGAATGACCCCTCAGAGTGCCAGCATCAGCGGGGCCTTATGGATTTTGGGAGGTGCCTTCTGGGACCCTCAAATTGTGTCCCATATTCCATGTTATGCTTTGTGTGTATCTCATCTGGACATTGTCCACTGTGTTTCCCATTATGGGGCCATAGTGGTTTCTTTTAGCAAAGCTGGCTTGGGTAACAACTCTGCTCAGCGCTGTGCCTTGGGGTGCAGGGTGGGGAGAGGGTGAGCAGGAAGTAAAGCAGGGTGAACAGTGGATCCTGGCCCTGGAGCAGCTGTGGGACAGAGGGGTGCTGTACCTGGTGGGCAGTCGACTCCAGGCAACCCTCTTAGAACACTTGCTGAGCCAGACTGGGTTTCCAAGTTGGCAACCAGGTAACTTGTAACACATTTTCAAGATGCCCACACACTTAGGGAACTGCTAGTGCTTCCTAAGGGACAGTGACATCTCTGCTCCTCTTGCACGATAGCTATTGTGTCCAGTGTGTGCCTTCCTGGGGGCTGGGGCAATGCTGAGGAATGTACCTGTCTGCAATCACTGCCATCTTCCAAGTTTCCCAAGCTCGTTCTAGCAGCTTGGTAGGTGGGGTGCCCATTACAGGGGTTTGAGGGTCACCCCCATGACCCACCTGTTCCCTCACACTGCACATCAGTGCAGCCAGGCTCTCCCCTAGAAGGTGAGTGTTCCCCTCCCTTCTCTTTGGAGGACCCTGTGTCCTCAGGCTCTGGGTAGTTTGCCCAAAGGACCTTGGTGTAGCCTTCAGCACTTCTCCCATGGGAAGATGCACCCAGAATGGTGGATGTAGCCCTAGATCCCTCCCCTCTTTGCTCAGAACACAGTGCAGATCGGGAACCAGCTTCCTGGGTTGAAGATGAGGAGTGTTGTCATCGGGGGTGTGTCTGAAGACAAGGTCTCTGTGCGCCGTGGCTTCCGTGGCTGCATGAAGGTATGTCCTGGTGTGGTGGCCCACCCCTCACTGACAGCCCCAGGCTGCCAGCACCACAGATCGTACCGTCAGTCCTTCTGATGATTTTCAGTAAACCAAAAGTCAGTCTAATGGGCCCCCCAACTTGGATGTCTTCTGTTTCTGCCATAGACCCACCCTTCCTATGGCTCCCCTCATGCTAGGGCTCCCCCTGCCCTGGACCCCCTAGTTCTGGTTGGCCCTCTACTTTCAACCTCTCACCTCTGCTGTGGCCACCTGGTCCAGTCCTGCACAGCCTGTGCCTCTCCCCTGACCAGGTGTTCCAGAGGCTGCTGCAGGCGTGGTTTATAAAGTAGCTGAGGAAGAGGTTAACCTCCCCTTCCTTTGCTTCTGGTCCTCTCCAATACCCAGCGTGGCGCATGTCTCTGGCCCCCAGGCCACTGGGTGAGAGGAGCATCCCACCAGGCTCAGCTTATGAGATACCTCACAAGGAAAGAGAATTTGGGGCTTTTGTAAGACTCGTTTACCCCGTGGGGTTCCTCCAGCCCCAATACCTTGGAAATGAACCTGGCTGTCCCCGTTTGTTAATGCAGGGGGTGAGAATGGGGGAGACAGCTACCAATGTGGCCACCCTGAACATGAACGATGCCCTCAAGGTCAGGGTGAAGGACGGCTGTGATGTGGATGACCCGTGTGCCTCCAGCCCCTGCCCTGAGCACAGCCGCTGCCAGGACACCTGGGACAGCTACTCCTGCATCTGTGACAAAGGTGGGGCCCTGTTCCTCATGCCGTCGGTGGAAGGGACCCTCGGGTTAACATGCAGCCAGAGAAGCAGAGCTGGAATGTTGGCACCCTGACCAGCTGTGGGTCTGTGGAGCCCTGAGCTGACCATAACACACGGCCTTCTCTGCTGAAAACAGACCCCTCTGCTGCTTCTCAGCTAGGGGCCTGGGGAGCACGCTGCATTTCACTTCATGCTCCATAATGAGAGTAACCGAGGAATCTCAAAAGTAACACAGTTTTCAATTCTGACATGTACTGGTCACCTCTGAAGCTTGGGGGCTGAGAAGTTAACCTCACTTGGTATCTGTTTCCCAAACACCCTGGAGCGCTGGGGATCCCCCTCGCTCCTACCCTCCCCAGGGGCCGCGGCAAGCTGTCCTCCGCATTTCCAAGTCCAGCACACAAAGTGTCTGTGTTTCCTGAGACTTGGGGGCACCCTGCCGCCCCCTCTGCCACGTAGCCAGAAATGTCACTGTGGAGCGAAGTGACTTACCATGGAGGTAATACTGCCCTGTCCCTGCAGGGTACTTCGGAAGGAAGTGTGTGGACGCATGTCACCTGAACCCCTGCAAGCATGTAGCGGCCTGCGTGCGATCCCCCAGCTCCCCACGTGGCTACGAGTGCCAGTGCGGGCCCGGCCACTACGGGCAGTACTGCGAGAACAAGTAAGGGGCCCTGACCGCGCGTCTCCTCCACCTCCCTCTCCGCGCTGTGACTTTGACCTAGACACTCACACACTTCTGGATAACGAGGGCAACAAATTTGGCATGAAATAAGTGAGGAGCAAATCTGGCATCCCACGTGTGACCCCATGTGCTCAAGTTTCCACCCTGGAAACGTCCGACACAACTCTCGGGGTCCCGTTGCTCCCCAAGGAAGCGGCCCTGGGAAATGCACGACGTGCATCTGCCTTCTCCGTGGGAGGTTGTGCGTGGCAGGTGTGTAGACGGTCAGGAGGGAGGCACGTGCTATCTGTGCTTCCTGAGTGCCGTGTCCGGAGTGTGTGGATCAAGTGACACCCGTGATCCGGTCTCAGGGTGGAGACTCCTGCTTCTTCACAAACCAAGACTCCAGCTCCACACCTGGCTCATTGCCCTCCGTGGTGAAGGCCACCGTGCTGCAGGAGCCATGTGGGTGCTAGCCCCACCCTGAGTGGCAGAGACCCCTTGCTCTGCTCTTTGGCCACCCTGTCCCTGCATGTGTTGTAATCCCTAGCCATGAGCAAGAGGTAGCCTGTGCCCTTGGGCTGGTGACGTCAAAGGAAGATGAGAACCACCCCACTGCCCTCTGGGTGTCAGTGAGACTTGATCCAAGGGAGAGCTTAGAAGAAAAAAAATAAAGTAACAAAGAAAGAGCTTAGAAAAGATGTCCTAGAGTGCAGAGGAAGGTGGGAGCCAGGGAGGCTAAAGAGGAACAGCATGAAATTTAACCACGGGGGCAGGGCTAGAGAGGGCAGTGGGTCAGTCAGAGGGCAGGCGTGTCCTGAGGCAGGGAGACGGAGGTAGGGGATGGGGAGGGAGGACCTGTTGTGTGAGATAGGAACAGAGGCCATTGGGGCCCAGCAGCAGTGGCAGGGCAAGGCTGGGCTGGGTCTTACAGAGCCTTGTGGAACACAGTGTAGAGCAGGAGGAAGCAAGAGCTGGTTGAAGCCCAGAGGCCAATCCCGTCCCCCAGGCCTGGCATTGCAGACACACCAGGCTGACGGGGGTGGATGTTATACCAAGGCCATGGGATCCCCGCGTGGCAAGCACGGTCTATAAATACAAGACTGGAACTCCAGGTTTCAGGAACTTGACCAGGCTGTCGTCTCTCTGTGTGGTGTACACAGTTAGTACTTAACACTTGCTTAGCAGTGAGCGAGTATGGGAGGTTGATGGGGGTGGGGCGTGGAAATGCCTGATCCTGGGTGGTAAATACTGGCAACCTTTGTCTCAAGGAACCTGGAGGACCTGGGCAGGGGCAGACAGGTCTTTAGTGAGTGCTCGGGTGCAGAGCATGCTGGGAACAGGTGGGTGAGCTGCACACAGATGGCAGCTGCATTGAAGAGCAGCCTGCCTCATCCCGACCGAGACTGCAGTCCTGGTGTCTTCCGGTCTCTGTGGACACCTCAGTGAGGGAGGGCAGATCCCACTCAACGCCACAGCCACTGTGTCTGCACCTCCCTGTTGTGAAAGTGCATCACATCTGGGGAAAGACTGCCCGGAGCAAAAAGACTGCCAAGAGCCTCGGTGGGGATGTGGCCAGTGTTTGACTCAGGGGACCTGAGTAGTGAGAGATGCTCTGGACCTGTTGTCCCATGGCAGATGCCCAGGTCCCTGGAAGAAGGTTGCCCAGACAGTGAGCTCAGCCTGCCTGTGTGTGGGGCTGGGGCCTTGAAGCCAGCCTGGCAGTGGGCTCTGTTGTCACTGAGCCCCTGTGAGGCATCGTGCAGATGCAGGGCTCAGAGTGCACGCAGATAGGTGGCATCTCCACCTTGCTGATCGTGGTTACGTCACACTCACCTGAGACCCGGCTAGGGGCTCTCATTTGTTTTCTAGATAAAAGAAAGGGGGAGAAAAGAAGTTCTTTTCAAGTTTTTGTTTTATAGTCACTGGGGTTTGAACTCAGGGCCTCATGCTCACTAGGCAGGTACTCCACCACTTGAGCCAGGCCTCCATTTATATATGCATCTTTTTTTTGGTGGTATTGGGGCTTGAACTCAACTCACACTTGCTAGGCAGGTGCTTTTCCACTTGAACCACTCCACCAGCCCTTTTTTGTGGTCACTATTTTAAGATAGGGTCTCACAAACTGTTTCCCCAGGCTGATCTCAAACTGTGATTCTCCTGATCTCTGCCTTCCCAGTAGCTGGGTTTACAGGCGTGAGCCACTGGCTCACTGCAGTTTTGTAGGTAGAATCCTCTTGGATATGTGGCCCGGAAGCCTGTGAATAGGACACAAAATTCTAAGGGTCCTGGTCGGGTGGGGCCTGAGTTTGGAGCCAGTAAGGAGGAAACTGAGGCCCTGAGTCGAGGGAGGATGGTGATGAAGTGGGAGACCATCTTCCTGCCCTGGCCACCAGCAGGCTTCACGCCTCATAGGAAGCACTGCTCCATAAACCTTCCATCTTCTTCTACCAGAATCGACCTTCCATGCCCCAAAGGCTGGTGGGGGAATCCTGTCTGTGGCCCCTGTCACTGTGCTGTCAGCCAAGGCTTCGATCCTGACTGCAACAAGACCAATGGCCAGTGCCAGTGCAAGGTGAGGGGACCTTTGGGGATGTAGCCTGTCACCACCGCCTTGTGCACACATGTGCACTTGGTCTTATATATGAATATACACCATCTACAAATGCACATGTACACATACTTTCATGGAGCTACCTGCACGCTCATCCACTGTACTCACGTGTGCTCCTGCATACATTATGCCTATCTACCCATGTCAGTGTTTTCTCTCTCTCTCTCTCCCTCTCTTTCTCTCTCTCTTCCTGTCACACACGCACACACACACAGTGTGGGGCTGCTCACCCATGCACTGAGCACACCTGGGCTGCTTCTCACCAGTGAACCCTCCCCACCAAGGAATCCATGGAAGCCCAAAACCCAGTGGGTGATAGGAGATCTAGCAGTTTCTCTGAAGGTTGTCCCATCTTCACCACCAGCCTTGGTTCTCCTAGCTGGCTGCTGTCCTGGACTTTTACCAAGCTTGCTTTCAGTAATGATAGAAGTTTTAAAAATATGAAGCCTGGAGAGGTGGCTTGGTGGCAGAGCTCATACCCAGCAATGACCCTGGATTCGATCCTGGCACCGTAAAAGATATATATATAGATATATATCAGAGCCCTGGCTCCGCCCCACCTCGATGTCCAGTCCTCACACAGGTGCAGCATGGAGCACGGTCCTGGGATCTCTGAACACGCCCACATATTCAGTCCAAATTGTAGGAAGCCCGACCTCCTGACATCAGTCCTGTCATGTACCTTCAGAATTGTCATTCCATGACTGCTGTTGGTGGCCAGTAACTCGAAACCCTCCTGCCAGCTCGAGGGTAACAGTAGCTACTCACAGAGTGACACGTGCTATCAGGGAGACATGGCCTGCTGATCAGGAAGGAAAATTGTCACGCAGGTCCCTGCCATGCTTCCCCATAACATCAGTCTTCTCTGTGTGCTTCGTAGCAGTTGCAACGATGAGACAGTCTTGTGCTGGAAACACTCCAGTGCAAGACTCAAACAGCTGTCCTGCTTTTCGTGAGAATGCCATTTCCTGGGTCTGTCCTGGGAACTCCAGGAGGCAGCCATGTTGGAGGGGAGTGCGGACTGAGCAGGACGAGAGGTCCAGCAGTCAGGCTGGCAGCCAGCACACGCGCTGGTGGAGCCTCCAGCAGCGGGGCCTCAGCGCGTCTGAGGTCACCTGTGCTTCTGACTCTTGCAGGAGAACTACTACAAGCCCCCAGCCCAGGACGCCTGCCTGCCCTGCGACTGCTTCCCCCATGGCTCCCACAGCCGCACGTGTGACATGGACACCGGACAGTGCGCCTGCAAGCCTGGCGTCATAGGTCGCCAGTGCAACCGCTGTGACAACCCCTTCGCGGAGGTCACCTCACTTGGCTGCGAAGGTCCATGGTGTCCCTTGAAACCTTTCGGTCACACTGAAGAACAGGCTGCAGGCTGGCATTTGCCTGAGATGTGTGTGCGTGGCATGTGTGGAGTGTGTGTGTGGTGTGTGTGTGTGCACTGTGGTGTGTGTGGCATGTGCATGTGGGGGAGGTGTGTGGGTGTGATGTGTGTGTGGCATGTGTGTGGTGTGTGTATGTGGTGTGTGTATGTGGTGTGTGTATGTGTGTGTTCACTGTGGTGTGTGTCTGTGTGGTGTGTGTGTGTGTGGTGTGTGCGTGTGTGGTGTTGGTATGCACTGTGGTGTGTGTGGCATGTGCGTGGGGGGGAGGTGTGTGGGTGTGATGTGTGTGTGGCATGTGTGTGGTGTGTGTGTGTGTGGTGTGTGTATGTGGTGTGTGTATGTGTGTGTTCACTGTGGTGTGTGTGGTGTGTGTATGTGGTGTGTGTGTGTGTGTGTGTGTGGTGTGTGCATGTGTGGTGTTGGTATGCACTGTGGTGTGTGTGGCACGCATGTGGGGCATCTGCATGCACTAGGCTTGGAAGCCTTTGACAACCTGGTATTCTGGGTTCTCTTGGCCTTCTAGAAACCTGGCTCATCGTGAGGTTGTCACAACTCAAAGCCAGTTCTGACATCAGTCAGGGAAGGAGGGTTCCGGGGGTTCCCTAGTGGTGGGGGCCTCCTGCAGGGAGGAGCACACAACTTGTTGGTGGGCACAGACGTGTGGCCTGAGCAGCTTCTTCCCTCTGTTCCCCAGTTGTCTACAATGGATGTCCCAGAGCGTTTGAGGCTGGCATTTGGTGGCCTCAGACGAAGTTCGGGCAGCCAGCTGCAGTGCCATGTCCCAAGGGATCTGTGGGTAAGTCAGTCAGGGGACCCATGGCATCCTTGGGCAGGCAACTGGACGAACGCAGGCCTTTTTCCAGGAAAGCTTCCAGACGTCAAATTCTCAGAATATCCTGTCAAAGGGCAGTCTTTGGGCAAAGTGAAGGGAGAAATAAAATTGCCTTTCCTTAATAGGAAGGGCCTAAACACACAAGGGACGTAACAGAAACTAGGTCACGTGGGGCAGTGATGTCCATCAGTCTGGTCTGGGTACACTTCTGGTCTCTTCTGCTCTCTGCCTGGGGCAGAGTGAGTAGCCTCACTACTCTTGGCACTGAGTTCTCTGTGAAATGGGGACAGTGATGGTGTCCACATGGGAAGGGGTGTTTGGAATCAGTGAGGTGTATGGGGACCATCAGTACTTAACGCACCATTTGGCTGGTCTCTTCCCTCAAGGACTCGCGCACATGTCTGTTTGCTTGTATTTGCTGGGCACTTTGCGTGACTGCAAATGTCAGAGCAGCCTTGGAGGAGGCCCCTGTGTGAAAGATGGGAGCCTCTTGGCCATGGGCCTGCCCAGCCTGGGCCCCTATAATTCTCACCTCTGCTCAGTGCTGGGGTCTGAGTACTTTCCGGCTGGCACATTGCACAGTGCTCCCACAATTCTGGTTCTCATTCCCTAGGAAACGCCATCCGGCACTGCAGTGGCGAGAAAGGCTGGCTGCCCCCAGAGCTCTTCAACTGCACTACTGGCTCCTTCTTGGATCTCAAAGTCTTGGTAGGCTGGAGCCTCAGGGAGGTGCATACAGGGTGTGTGCACACGGGGGTTGTGCTTGGGTACTGGGCAGTGTTCCCCAGAAGCATGGGTGTGGAGGCAGGAGGACTGCTGGGGTGCAGTGCTGCAGGACAGAGGCAAGGGCCAGCTCATCAGGCTGGCATGTTATGCATACTGTACTAATTGCGTCTCTTGACCCCAGGACCCCAGCTCTGGGTTTTGGCTCTGCAAATGCTAAGTCCCCACGTTCACCTCCACTTGCCCTCAGGTCTCACCTGTTTCATGGTGTTTTATCTGCTAACTGGTCACAGTCACATAGAGTTTTCTCCTCTTGCCCCTTTTCCTCCCGTAGTTGCCAACCCAAGGTCATTTCTGGACTTTGGGATTTTGAAAGTGCCATTCTAACAAGGATACTTTCACCAGAAAGTAGAGGATTTCTGAATACCAGGAAGGACCGGGCAGTGAGTGTCAGTTTGCAGACTTTGAGCTTGTTTCCCCCATTCCAGAATGACAAGCTGAGCCGCAATGAGACTCGGATGGATGGCGACCGGTCCCTGCAGCTGGCAAAGGCGCTGCGGAACGCCACACAGCACAGCGGCGTGCTCTTCGGCAACGATGTCCGCACAGCCTACCAGCTGCTGGCCCATGTCCTGCAGCACGAGAGCCAGCGGCAGGGCTTCGAGCTGGCGGCCACGCGCGACGCTGACTTCCACGAGGTAGGAGGAGGCGAGAGCCCGCTCAGGTGGTGAAAGCCCTCAGGCTGGTGGGCGGGAACAAGGCCCAGTTATGCCGATAGGAGTGTTAGGAGCGCTTTACAAGGCGAGTGCAGACCTCAGCCTTGATGGTAATAACAGAGATGTGACAGTTAGGGACTGCTCAATATGGGCCAGTGTTCTGAGTGGTTTACACAACGCTACATGTGCCTCCCATGTCACCCACAGTGTGAAACTGTTAGCCTTCTACCTGACAGATAAGGAAACTGAGGCACACAGAGCCAAGGGGTTTCCCCTAGAGCACAGCTTGTAAGTGGTGGGCCCAGTGTTTGTGTCACTCCCAAGTCACTGACCATGCATCTGCCAGTGACCTCATCACGCTCCAGCTGAGTGTGTAGCGGTTCCTGATGGGCTCTGCGGTGTCCTACCCACGCCTCCTGCAAGGACGCCTCCCTGTTTCTCACTTGTTTGAGCGATCAGATCTAAACTGTGTCTGGAGCGGTCCGCCTTATGTTTGTAAACTGCTCCTGTGTCGCAAGCTGTCTCACGGCCCCTCTCCAGTCCTCATCCTGAACCTCCAGAACACTCTGTCACCCCGTCCATGCAGAGCTCACCGGCCTAGATGCAGTCCCCTCATTTGGGTTCCTTCCAGCCTGAGGGATCAAACGGAGAACAAGTTTCGATTCTTTGCAGACAAGTTTCTTCCCTGGTTTCTGTCTCCGGTTGGGTCACCCAAACCTTGGGCACAACCTCATATTCCACAGCATGGGGAATGCTGTTTCCCATAAACCTTGCTGTGAACGGGTGTGGACTGTCACCCAGAGTCACCGGCCTCGTGTCCACCAGTGGCCTCGCCATGCTCCCCGGCTCAGCTGGGTGTGTGGCGGTTCCCATCACCTGGTTCACTCTGGGGCCTGGGTTCTGGTGTGACTGGGACTCTCTGCACCCCTGCTGCTTAGGGTCTTGGGGTATACTCAGTGGAATCCCAGCAGGGTACCCTCCTGGCAATGTGCAGCCTCTGAGATGAAGTCGCTCACTCTTTCTTCTCCCCACACCTGGCCCATCTTGGTCCTGGCCAGTTAATGTCTAGCAGCTGATTTCCGTGTGTTACTTGACTAGGCCTCCACACGAGGCTGAGCTCGGTCTGTCTGTCTGTCTGGCCAGGATGTCATCCACGTAGGCAGTGCCCTCCTGGCCCCAGCCACCAGGGCCTCATGGGAGCAGATCCAACGGAGCGAGGGCGGTGCAGCACAGCTGCTGAGACGCTTCGAGGCCTACTTCAGCAATGTGGCACGCAATGTGAGGAGGACCTACCTGCGGCCATTTGTCATCGTCACTGCCAACATGGGTAAGGACCATGGACCAGCATGGGGGGCAGGATGTCCCTGAGGGTGGAACCTCAGGACCATCTGGGGCATGAGAGCTGGGAGCTGACCGCCAGGGGTGAGGCAGAGGTCTACTCTGGAGAAGTGAGCCACCACTCCCCTCCACCTCCTTACCTGTGATGTGGAAGGTTCGTCCATTGCGGGGCGTTTGGGAGATCAACCTGCAATCTCACACTTTGCTCCAGGGCCACTGGAGCTGTGGAGGTGCTGCTCTGTGGTTTTTGGGGTCCAGCAGGCCTTTCAGATGCACAGGTGTGGAGGTTTCTGCAGATGGGTGGGGCTTGGGGCTCCCACAGTACAGCCCTCCCAGGGCCAGCAGAGACAGCTAAGCTCACTGAAGATGGGTGCAGACCCGAGCAGGACATGTGGGGAGGGCAGCTTCCAGGTTCCCACCCTGGGCAGGCAACTGGATGGTGGGAGCAGCACTGGCCTGCTCCAGGCCAGGAGCTAAGTGGTCAGCCGAACCATCCCTTGGGAATATTGTCACCACAGACACCAGGACATGCTTCTGTGGAGCTGGAGAGTCCTTCAGGCAGAGAAAGCCCCACTGTGGCAGAACTGGTCCCCACCCCTTCCCATAAAGCTGGTAAAAGTCCCTGCGTCCCTGGTGGTCCCTATCCTCAGTGCAGGCTGGTGGCATCCCCCGTGTTAACCCTCAGCCTCACTGGGTGTCACTTGCATAGCCGAGCCTTCGCTCCTACAGGAGGCTCGGGGGCCCTCCTAGCATAGAGTAAATGAACACGATGTCCCCTGGCACATATAGTGCAGCTGTCTGCCTCTGTTACAGGCCAGCACTCACTGACAGGTAGCCTGACAGTGTCAGGTGAAGGTGGAGTTCTGTGGGCCATCTCAGCGCTGTCCTGTCACTGACTCCAGGAGGCAGAGGGGGTGTGGGTGGTGAGTCCACGCTGCCAGGCTGGCTCGGAGAATAGGTTCTAGGTGTCTTGCCTCCATGACTGTCCATCTCTGCAGCTAGAAGGTCTGCAGGGAAATGACACAGACCGTGTTGCAGGTCTGAGGCTCTATCTGCTCTCTGTCATGCCGCGAGTTAGGTCTGCCCTCAGATCTCTCCCTATTCACTGCGCTGTCTCATGTCACCTCCAGGTGTTCTGCTGTGTGACCCTCAGTAGGTTTAAAGGACTCAGAAAGATAGAAGTGGATTCACCACTAATGGTGTCAGTCGGTGTCAGTGAGAGTCCTGGTCATTTTGAGAATGGTGTGAGTCTGAGGTGGCTGTGGCAGTTGTGATGACTTAAGAAACTTTTCCAGTTCTTGCAGTTGACATCTTTGACAAGTTTAACTTCACTGGTGCCCGGGTGCCACGGTTTGAGGCCATTCAGGATGAGCTCCCAAGGGAGTTGGAGTCTTCTGTGTCCTTTCCAGCTGATGTCTTTAAACCACTGGAGAAAAGAGGTAAAACTGCCTAGAAACCCAAACCCATTGCTGTATCCCAGGTCCCTGTCCTTCTGGGAGGGTTGGGCAACCCTCAGAAAGGGACCCGGAGTCCACAGCCCAGACATGAAGCCAAGCAGGCCAGGTGGGTGAGTGTACAGGTGTCTTTACTAAAGCTATTAAAAGTCTCGCTCTGATGGAGGACCAAGCGTGGTACTGACCCCTTCTTGCAGATTGTCACTTGTCACCTCAGGCCCTCTGTTTTTTCCACAGTGCATGTCTTGTGAGGGTTTTGTTCATAGCTATGCATGGAAGTGATTGTAGGGGTGTATATCTGTGTACATGCGCACATGTGTGTATTCTTTCTTTACCTAGGACTATTTCTTTGGCATGTATGTGTGTATATGTGCAAGTATTATGTACATGAATCTTGTGTGCACATGTACATGTGTATATTTCTTATATGTGTATTTCTTATATGTGTATATTCCATGTGTGCAAGTGTATATGTATCTATTCTCTGTGTACATGCTTGTCTTCTGCGTATATGCATACATGTATGTTCCCCATGTTCAAGTATACATGTGTATATTCCATGTGTGCACACATGCGTGTGTATATTTCTGTTTGTGCAGGTGTGTGTGTATACACATATGGATTCTGTGTGCGTGCATTTGTGTATATTCCCTTTGTGAAAGTGTATGTGTGCGTATACATGTTACATGTACAGTATTTAGTGTTGTTCCATACGAAAGGGCTCTGTCCCTGTGACTTCAGTCATATGTCTGCTTCCAAGGTGGCCATTGGGTCAGTTCTCCTGTGAGTCCCAGGCCTGGTGCACAGGAACCCTGTTTGCTATAGGACATCCTCACGGGAGACACTCAGTGCCTGCTTCCCTCTCCCAGGGACAGGTACCACCTCCTCCAGCTCCCCCAGCCCTGTAGTTGCGTTTTATTCAGTGTGGTTTTTATTCAACCCACTGATACTTTGGCTGACACAGCACCACAATGTCACCAGTTGGTCAGGTGGCATTTTGTAATGAGTTGGCTGTCAGGTGCCACGTCCCCTGTGACCGACAGTGGGGCCCTCCCCCACCCCGTTCTAACTTAGAACATGGCTCCTCCCTCCCCCTTGCTGTCAGCCCAGGACCTGGGGAGGTCAGGCTTCAACCTGGGTCTCCGGCACCGTGGTTGCTGCTTCAGGCAGTGGCAGGATATTTAAGCATGTGTACCCCACAGTGTGCATGTAATCGCAAGGTCTACACGTGGTCTCTGGCATCCCCATTTCATGCACACTTGCAAACTTGTCCATGTTTGACATGAAATAAAAGCATAGGGAGGACACAATGTCCTCGTGCAGCTCCCCGATGTGGCCCCGGGTGGGGACAAGTATGGATGGGTGAGGGATATCAGCTGCCTGTCATGTGACACCTGGTACTTTTTAATAAAATAGAGGCGAGGTACACATTTGTGATTTTTAAGGGCACAGTCCAGTGGTGTTTACTGCATTCTCTAGTTTCTGCTCTGTCTCAACAGCTCCCCTCCCCCACTGTCTCCCCTCCCCCACTCATGACAAACACTGTTGTTTATGTATTCGCCCGTTCGTGGACAGTGGGTGGCTTCCTTCTCATGACTATTGTGAATAATGCCGTGAACATGGTGGGGTGGGGGACAAATAGCTCTTTAAGACCCTTTTGAATATGTACCCAAAATGGAGTTGCTGGGCCTTCTGGCAATTCTGTTTACTTTTTGAGGAAACTCCGTGCTGCTTCCCTTAGGACTTGTGTTGGTTTTTAAGAAGCACTGGCTCGAGCTGAAACCCAGAGGCTCCTGGCCCAGCGCTTACTCTGTGCTCACATTGCAGAAGGACCCATGATGAGGCCGGCCAGGTGGAGGGTCACGTCCCAGACGGTGCACCCAGAGCCGGAGGCTGAGGAGTCCCCGGTCAGCAGGCGGAGGAGACACCCAGACGATCCCGGCCAGTTTGCTGTTGCCATGGTCATCATTTACCAGACCCTGGGCCAGATGCTGCCTGAGCAGTACGACCCTGACCGCCGCAGCCTCCGGTAAGGCCTGGCTGCCAGGACCATGGGGAGCACCCAAGTCTGCAGGGTCCTGAGGCCTCCACCAATCAAAATCCTGATCCCCCACCACCTTCACAGCGACTTCACACCTGGCCTGTCTATGGCGACCCCTGGGCAGAGGTTCTGGGTGTGCCAGACAGGCACAGTGCTCTAGGACATTGCTCACCCTTTGCTTTGGCTCACCCGAAACGCTCCCGTGTGTGCCCTACCTGTGTCTCCATGGGCTCCGCCCTGTCCACCATGCCTCCCCCACTGCTGGCCCTGCACCATGGCTACTCAGCCAGTTTGCTGGACAAAGTGCTGGTGTCCCGGGAGCTTTGCACCCTGGTTGAGGGGCTAACAGTGAGGTCATGCGTTTCAGCCTCAATAGTGTTTCCTCAATTCTTCCTGGCTTCCTGTCACCATGGCGGTCCCCACCGTGGGCCGTGATTACGCCCAGGTCCCTGCACTGGCCACATTGCCATTCCCAGGGTGGCAGCATCTGCTCATCAAGGCCTTGGTGTCTTTACACACATGCCTTCTCTTCATTGTTGAATCTGAAGTCCCCCTTGGTCCCAAGGTGACATGTCTCCCTGCACTCTTGAGGATGCTGATGCCACCACTCAGGTCCTCTTGAGGGCAGGGCTGGGGGCCTGTGCCATTGTTCATCTGATCTATGTCCTCATGGCATCCCCACTCAGGTTTTAAATAAATGCATCCTAATCAAGCTTGCCCCTGTGGTCTCACTTCTCCATCACAGGCTTCCTAACCGACCAGTCATCAACACCCCAGTGGTTAGCACCGTGGTGTACAGTGAGGGGACTCCACTCCCAAGCCCCCTGGACAGGCCCGTCCTTGTGGAGTTTGCCCTGTTGGAGACGGAGGAGCGGACCAAGCCTGTCTGTGTGTTCTGGAACCACTCTCTTGAGTAAGTGTGACACAGGTGCCTGAGGGGTAGGACCTCCTGCTACAGGACCCCTGTACTTCTGGGTGAGGATGTCCCAGGTCCTGAAGGCTCGGTTGGCACATTGTCCTGTCAGAATAGTCTCTTCTGGTCTCTTGCCCCCCTTTCACCCTTATGGGACAGGATGCTTCTTTGGCTCTGCCTCTAGGGGTGTCAGAGCCTGGACATAGACACGCACACACACACACACACCACACACACACACACCCCAACATGCAGACACTCACACAAGCTCGCATATACACATGCAGACACAGATATGCACACAGACACATGCACACCAAGGCACATAAATGCACATGTGGATGAGACATGTTCACACAGAGCCATACAGGCATGCACACACATGCAGAGGACATCAGTTATACACACGGATGCACACACGCACACATAGACGTGGAGACTCACAGGCATACACACATGCATATAAATGTACACACATGCAGGCCCTCAGGCACACAGGTCCACATAGCACACAGATATGCACACAAACACACACACATACACAGACACACGGGTGAAGACATAGAACGCACATCTGGGCACACTGACATGCTCACGCATGCACAGGTTTCCTCCGGAAGGCTGAGGGCAGGACGGCTGCTCGCCTGCAGGACTCCTGTGGTGCACAAGCCCCGTTTCTCTGCCTGACATGGAGAGAGCTAGTTTTGGACACACACGGGAGGTGGGATTCAGAGACTGGGACCAGGAGCCCTTGACTGACAGTGACAACTTCCACATCGGGTCCCTGACCTCAGCTTCGCCCACAAGGCCAAGCGCAGCACAGCACAGCACAGTGCTGGCTCCCGGGCCCACAGCAGGGTTTATCTGGACTGTGACTGAAGCCAGCAGAGATGCTCCCGGGAGCAGCCAGAGGCACAGTGTGCCCAGCAGTGTGTGCAATGTGAAAGAGCTGTGTGTGGTTGGGAACACAGTGAGCTCCTTACTACCTGTGCACGTGAAGACTGAATGGAAAGGGACTTGTCCCACGATTGGAGGACAGCAGTCTTTACACCGTCCTTTCAGCTGTGGTGCTGCCCTGTCTCTGCAGTGAGCCGCTTTTACCTCCATTTGGCTGCTTTTATGCAGAAGAAAACAGGGTGGAATGGGCTTGTGCAAGAATGGTCCTTGTCGGGCTGGGATGTAGCTTGCCTAGCATGCTCAAAGCCTTGGGTTTGATCCCAGCACCAAAAAAGAAAAGACAAAAAAAAAAAAAAAAAAAAGAATGGTTCTTGTTGCCAGACTTGGTGCAGTCTAGAACATGAAATCATGGCCATCTCCCCTCATGCCTAGGACACTACCCTAGCTTCAGAGAACCAGAGCCAAATGCCCCTCCTCATACCCAAAGCTGGGCCCAGATGTCTTGCACTGGGAGTCCCTATGCCACAGTGACATTCCCCATGTCACATTCCTCTGGACTGTGAAGAGAGCCACCCCCTAGGGCTGGGCTCAGCCAGGAGAGCGTGTTAGCACTCTTGCTTCTGACCTCTCCAGATGCTGGCTGGTGAGCAATCAAGCAGTGTCTGGAGCACAATAGAAACTTGGCTTACAAAGGAGAGAATAAAGGGGCCCCTTGCACAGTGAGGAGGTGTTGGCGTCTGGCGTGTGGGGCACAGTGGCTCTTGGGCGTGGCTGGCTGTCCCTGGTCATTTGTTTGAATTCTGGCAATTAGTTCTGGCACTAGTGATCTGCCCCCTGCTTTGTGCTGCTGCTTATTATCCCCACATCTGAATGCTTTGGGCAAGTGTATTAACCATCACATCCCACTTTACAGATGAGTAAACTGACGATCAGAGAAGTTATGTGAATTTCCCAGAGTCGGGGAGGGCAGGGCCCTGGCCACAGCTTGTTATATTGGGGCTTCCCGTCAGTGGAACAGGAATAATAATTGGGCCCTGACTTCCAGGCAGCTCCCATAAAACGTTGTGTAACCTAAGATGAAAGTGGGCAGTAATGGTGAGGTGTGCTCCTGAAGTCACTGAGACTCAAAGGAAGGCTGCAGAACAAAGCTGCTGTCTTAGCCTCGGCTGCTGCACACAGACACAAAGCGAGCATGAGACGCTGCCCTTTGGGATTTTCTGCTACTTGACACATAAACCTTGAACTTAAGAGGGTGCTGGCAACAGCCCCAACCAGCCACAAAGGGAAGGGAGAATGCTGAAGTCATGAGGGATGCAGGAGGGAGCTGCTGTGAGCTCGTGAAACTCAACACACACGAGCACCCACGCAAGACTGCTCTCTGCATGTGGGAGGGACTGCTCACCCCTCCCCTCTCCTTCTCTGCAGCACTGGTGGAACTGGAGGCTGGTCGGCCAAAGGCTGCGAGCTCCTGTCCAGGAACCAGACCCACATCACCTGCCAGTGCAGCCATTCAACCAGCTGTGCAGTGCTCATGGACATCTCCAGGCGTGAGGTGGGCGCTCCCCTGGCCACCCTGCCCTGCTGGCATGCGTGCCCAGGGGCCAGTCCCTGTGGAAACCGGAAGCTTGCCTAGTCCCCACCCCACCCCTTGACAAACCACATCTTCTTCTGGGCACTTTGAACAAATCAAATTGCACCGATTAAAAGTGGTATTCTTGGAATTGGTGAGGATGGCTGCAGAAAATTCTGTTGAACGGGTTTTCAAAGAGCCCAAGTTGTACATTGAGACTATAGTGGTAGCTCCTGGCATGTCACCCCCCACCCAGAGCAGGGTCCCTAGCCTTCTGTCTGTTAGGTGAGATGATGCCATCTGGACACCCCCTTAGAACGTGAGAAAGACATGGTGTCTCGCCAGGCCACACACCGGCCTCAGGGTTGGGGCCCTGGTGACATAGTGGGTAATGTTTAACCTGTGGCGAATGAAGCAGCCAGGGGATGTGACCAGCCATTGTGGACACCGTAATAGAGCAGTGTGACCCTGAGCAGGCTCAGAGGGCCTATCCCAGCCTCCGTTGTGGAGGCCAGCCTGGGTGTGCCTCTGTAGGACACTGATGAAGTCTGGGGTGTCATTACCTGTCACCTCCTAGGTGGGATGTGGCCCAGGATCCCAGCCTGCTGTGCCTGCCCTGGTGTTAAGAGGTCTAGGCTTCTGCAGGTCCTTGGAAGCATCAGCTTTGGACACTGCTCACGTGGTATCACTGGGGACAAAGTGGCTGTCTGTGAAATGTGTGACTGAAGTCATCGTCAGCCCACCAGGGGCAGTCCCTGTCCTTGTGACCCCTCACTCCCAGGGCAGGTGACACTTTCAAGCAGCTAGCCCCAGGGCCTGGCCTGGAGGGGCTTAGTTATCAGTGAGCTTCGTCTGGCAGGTGCAGAATCTGGGGTCCTCTGGTGGCAGGAAGTCAGGTAGTGTTGGGAGGTGACACACAGGCTGAGGATGCTGAAATTGAGGTGCAAGAAATGAAGTCAGAGTAGATAAAGGCTCCCATGTCCTGGGCCCCTCAAAGCTAACAGGTCTCTGAAGAGCCCAGCCAGCAAGGGATCCTGGGGCTGCTGCAGGCTCCCAGGGGACCCAGTGTCCAGGGCACCGGAAGGAACCTCAAGATGAGCAGTTTCTAGGGCCATCAGCACTGGGTTACATGCCCAACCTCGCTTTGGCTTCCCAGGACCACTGTGGACAGCCCATGGCTCACAGCTCTGCATCAGCCAGCACCTTCTGGTAGGTGCTAGAGAATTTGATTGTGCCTCAAACGTCCAAATTACCCAAGACATTGAGCCCTGGACCAGGGTCACACTTTGCCAAGGCACAGGAGACTCACTCAGCGTGAACGGCTTACTGCTGGCTGAGATGCTAAATCGCATGCACGTTTTATAATTAAAAAAAAAAGACTAATTCATTGCCCTTAAGAAATGAATGGTAAAGGATCCAGAAGTTTTAAAATGTGAGTCAATCCTGTGTGAACTCTTAGAGACAAACAAGCACCTGGCCCTGGCGTCATCACAGATGTCACAGAAGCTGTGCACTGGGGCGTGGGTGGGGTCAGTAGGAAGGACGCGCCTGCTGGAAGACAGTGGTGTACGTGAAATGTCATGTGGGTCCCAAATCCCCAGAGATCACGGTATTCGAGCTCTTGAACTCCGTTTTCTCATGTGTAAGGTGAGGGCAAAGTGGATATTTTCCTCCCAGGTCCAGTCCAAATATCGTATGAAATAACGCACGGCAGGGTTGAGACAGCCCCGATACCTAAGAAATGCTCAGTAAAGGTCGTTAATTACTCACATTTTATTATTACAAACTATCCATTTTCTTCGTAAGAACGAGGAATGTTTTAGCCAAAGGACTGAATTTATGATAGGATTACAAAACTCAGGAGGGCTGGCTGGCTCCTGCAGCCGGACGCACACACCCAGCTCTGTGGAAGGCCTGAGCTCCTGTAGCTCAGGATTTGGGGTAGAAAGGCTCAGTGCTCCTGACCACAGGATCTATGTGTGTGTGCTTTGTTTTTTCTAATGTGGCAAAATGTGCATCACATAACTTAAGGACAGTTAGTGGCACAAGCCACCCCACTGTCATGTGGCCATCACCACTGTCTTCCTGGAGGGCTTGTTTATCATCCCACTGTCCATTTGGTTGTGTGGGTTTGTGCCGTCCTGACTGAGGTCACAGCATAGTCACTCTGGTTCCTGCCAGTCTCTGAAAATCTAATAATCCATCATGCCTTTTGTCTCTGTTATTCAAAAACTTGATCAGAGTCAGGCCCTCACCTCCTGTCTTTAACCAACCCACCCACAGCATGGGGAGGTCCTGCCCCTGAAGATCGTCACCTACACCACCGTGTCCCTGTCCCTGGCATCCCTCCTGGTGGCCTTCATCCTCCTCACCCTGGTCCGGACACTGCGCTCCAACCTGCACTGCATTCACAAGAACCTCACTGGAGCGCTGTTCTTCTCCCAGCTGATCTTCGTGGTCGGGATCAACCGCACAGAGAACCCGGTGAGGCCTGTTTTCCTTGCTCTGGCCCTGGGTGTCCCACATGCTGTCATATGGCTGTGTCTTTCAGTCTTCCTGGAAGGAAGGACACCCCACCACTTGCCTAGGAGAGGGTGTGGGAGGAGACTGTTCCCTGCTCCTGAAGTTCAAGTGTGGCAGGGAATCCCACAGAAATCTGGGCTCTTTGGACCAAGCTGTGGGTTTATGCCCTCGTGAGACACTCCCTCCCAGGGCCCCCATGAGACCACATCGGAAGGGCCAGTGGCTCCAGGTAGCTCAGGTCTCATTGTCTTGATGTAGACACTATTGATATCACAAGAAATCACAATCATTTGCTAAATCCCAGAGTCCTATGTAATCAAGTTTCCGTGGCCCAAAGACACTAGTGATGTATGTTATTAATGAGTGTCCATAGAACACAGACCCCCCAGCCACCCGTCATCTACTTCCCGTGACAGCTGTGTTTCCCTGGAGCACAGCCCCAGTGTGGAGAGCTGGTTTCTGAAGAAGAGAAAGGAGCTAGTGGCAAGAGCAAATGGGGGTGAGGAGGAGATGAGAGAGGAGAGGAAAGATGGGGGAGCTTTTGCTTGACCTGATTAAATATGGGGCTTTCACGTGGGCTTAAAGGCGTTGCATGACGTCCAGATATCACTAGAGCTTGTTGGGCTGTTGGGGAAGGTCATAGGGTATCCCAGAAGCTCATGGGAGGATCCTGGAAGCTCATGGAGTATGGTGGAAGCTCATGGGGTGTTTGGCCACATAGGTAAAGCCAGTAGGTTTTTCTGGACCAACAGTGATGATCGGCCACCCTTTCCAAGGCCCCTCATTCCCTCTTTTAGCCTCTGACTTCTGACCTGGGGACCAGGTCCTTGGGGAGGGACAGCACAGATCTAAACTGCTGAAGCAGGTGGGAGCCACACCTTCATCATACCTGCCAGCCGGTGCCCTCTCCTGTGTGCAAGCTTGTTACCACTGAGGACGACTGGCCTTTTCAGGGTGAAATGGGGACTGTCTTGAATTTTAACCTCCCAAAATAATACAACAGTGCTGAATGCTCAGCCATGTTAACACCTGCCCCGTGCTGTGGAAACCACTCTGAGCACCCTGGCTGCTGTCCCCACCACCACACCTCCACTCACAGATGCCTTGAAGGATCTTACATGGCTGTCAGTGGGAGTAGGGTCCCAGGCCCTTCACCCCCTACCTCTCTGGCAGAAGGTGAGGGGGTCATTCTGAACTTGCCTTTGGGAAGAGCTGACCAAGATGTGACCTTTAACTGCCCAAGAGCACAGGGCCTTAGGACGTTGAACCCTATACCCACAGTCACCATTTGCACTCTCAGTGGGTAGCCTTAAATAAGTACTTATGTTGAGCTCTTGACCTGGGACACAGCAGGGGGTGGAGTTCCCCATCCTGAAGCTGGTGCTTCCACAGCTGGGTGTTCCTGAGGGGTTGGATGCACCCATGCTGAGGGTTGGGCAGTGTCTCGTCCAGGGTTCAGAGCTTTCTGAGTTTGCAGTACTGGAACATGGAGACCTGAAACATGCAAGGTGGCAGATTGTGGGTGAGGGAACACAGGGAGAAGCCTTGCCTGTGCCCCCCACAGCTGGGCCTGCAGCTGGTGAGCTCCCTCTGTTTTTACCAGCAAGGCTGTCTAGACACGTACCATGGGCGCTGTCCGGCCAAGGTGAGCAGTGGGACTTACCACTGAATACAACGCCAGAATTGTCCAGTCGGTTACTGACAGCCCAAGAGGTGTAAAGACAGGAATGTGACAGATAAATACCAGCGAGAGCCAAGCCAGGGGTCTATGTGGTCATCAACCTAAAGCAGCTGGAGGGAGGGAACCCCATCATACCAGCAGGGAGGGGACAGCTGTATGAAGGAGAGGACCGTCACTGGGGGGACAGAGCCATCTAAATGTTTAGGTACCTAGAAGATGAACTCAGAATATACCTATGAAAGATACAAGTTCATTTCAAAAATTCAAGGGAGATGGCTAAGATCGTAATAAAATTTTAATGGAACTATTAATCAGAACTTGCAGGGTGTCATAAAAGCAGAACTTAGAGGGGATTATAGTCAGATTGCTGATATTAGCAAAAAGAAGGGAGGCTGAAAGCTAGTGAGCTAAGTGTCTAAGTTGACTTGTAGCAAAAGAACAAAACTCAGAGGAAGAAGAAAAGAGAGGATAAAGTAGAAATAAATCAAATAGAAAATAAAGGCGTAGGAGAAGATAAATAAAGCCATTAGCTGTTATTTCATATCTCAGACAGGCATAGTGGTACACATCTACAATCTCACCTGCTTGGGAGGCGGAGGCAGGAAGATCTTGTTTGAGGCTTGCCCAGCAAAGTTAGCAAGACCCTGTCTCAAAACAAAATAACAAGAGAAGGGTTGAGGGCGTGGCTCAAGTGGTAGTGCCTGCCTACCAAGCAAAAGGCCCCGAGCTCAATCCCCAGCACCCCCAAAAAGAAAGGATAAATCTCCAGTGAGTCCATTGAGGAAAAAAATAAAGGCATAAATAATGAATATTGAAGAATGATGAATATTGAATAATTGAATAATGAAGCCTGGACAACTTTAGGCTGACGCAGCTGAAACTTAGATGAGATGGACACCATCTCAAAATACAACCATTTTCTTGACACCGATCTATGACATAGAGAGCTCGAATTGCCCCCAGGGCCACTGAAGAGTTTACATTGGAGCTTAAATAATCATGCCCAGGCCGTGTTAATCTTAGGAGTGTAAGCAAGGGTCATTTAGCGTCATAAATGTCACCTCACTACTACACTTAAGGAAAAAATACTATTTTTCTCAATGCAGAAAAAAATTTGTGATAAATTTTACAGCCATTCATGATTAGAAAGAAAAGGAGGGAACCTTTGAACAAACTAGGAATGGGGGAACTCTTTCATCTATTGGAGGGGCTCTAGAGACCCCATAGCTGGCAGCTGCGGGAGGTATCGCAGCCTCACCACATTCACTGCGGGGCTGGAGAGCCTCGCCAGGGTGGGAGAAGGAAATTAAAAGCATGGGGGGGAGAAACAGCTACTCGCGTAGAACTTGTGTTGCACCGGCTATTATAACCCAGCGGTGACTGCATAGGCTGTGTGCAAACACGCCGTCTCGTGCTGTGTGTTACACACTCGTGTAAGGAGCTAGCTGGGTTCCATGGGCGATGCCGTGAATCACAGAAAAATCGAAATCTACAGACAATCCTGAGAAACAAGTAGGGAGTTTACAAGGCAGCTGCTGCTGTTGGAGATACCAGTATTGAAGTGTTGTTTACAGAGCAGTGGAGGGCCATGGGGGGCAGCCCTGGGAGGGATGGCGAGCCAAGTCTGGCTGTGGGAGGACAGAGATGAGGCGCTGGCTGCAGCTAGGGGGCGCTGGACCAGCAGCTGTCACAGGCGGCCCACGATTGTGGCAGGTGGCAGGCATCATATGGAGATGAAGGAGCCCAAGAAGGAGAGAAAGGTGCAGAATATAAGAGGTTGGGATAGGCAGAGGGCGAGGCCCAAGGTCCCAAAGAATTGAGAAGGGATCAGATCTGGGATGCTGCTGACAACAGCAATGACAATGACATGTCATTGTTCATGACGACAGGATGGAAGAGAAAAGCACAGGCCAAGATAACTGGTTGCAAGTGACTTTCCATATTTACAAGTGGCATTTTCGAAATATAAGGTCCCAGTGCAATGACTGGGAGTTGTGGGGGAAGGGCAGCCTTAGAGCACTATGTCCACTGCGGGGACCCAGCTGAGGCTGTACACGCGGGTTCCCTCCTTTTACTCCTGACAAGAGCCGGGAGATGGACTGTGGCTTCTTGACGGTCAGGGAAGCCCTGCTCAAGGAAGTCCGGCTCAGTAGAGTGGAGGCCGCTCAGGTGGAGGTGGCAGAGCTGGGATGGGATAGGAACCTGGTCCTTGGTGCCACCTTTCTGTGAATCCCAAGGAACAGCCCCTGGGCAGACCTTTATCTGCTGAGAGGTTAGAGCCAAAACCAGCCTGCTCCGAGGGCAGACCTGCTGCAGGGAACTCTGTGTGCTGTTTCATGTGCCCATGGCTGAACAGTGAAAGGTGTGAAGCAAGCTGATCCTCACTCCCTCATACAGAGTGACTCCAGAAGTTCAAAGGTACCTGACCTAGACCCCATCACACTCTCAGCAACATCTTGTCTGAGGTGGTGGCCTTTACAAGCATTGTCCCCACAGCTGTTGCTGAAGCTGTCATCTTGTCCTTGCTATTGCAGCCCTGCAGCCATTCCTCCATATGCACTGGGGATTGTCCCAGGACCCCCGTGGGTACCAAAACTGGAGGAGGCTCCAGTCTCTTATGTGAGTAGCATAATACATAGTACAAGATGAGGTCGTCTTTGTGTATAACCTCTGCCTCATCTCCAGATTAATTACACTATCCAATGCAATGCAATACAAGTTGAGTAGTTGTTACACTGTATTGTTTAGGGAATATTGGCAAAAAAAAAAAAATCAGTACAGAGTACTGCACTGAATATGCAATACTTTGGATATACAATATTTTAGATACAAACCCTCAAATACAGAGGGCTGATCCATTAAAGCTACCAAAGACCTGAATTTAACAAGCTTCCCTGCACCGGCAGGTCGGGAGCTGTGTCTAGTCAGGACAGGGCCGAGTGGGACCACCCAGTTACTCCCAGTGGTTCAAGATAAGGGGTGGAGGCAGATTGGAGATCCAGTTGTCTGGAGATGGTGCCAAGGAGTCCCATCTTTTGTTTGCAGGCAGTGTGGCACCTGGAGAGCCTTTGTTTTAGAAGGGGGAGCCTAGGGACAGATGGATGGTGGGTGGGAGGGTGGAGCAGGGGCCAGCAAAGCAGCCTGGATGGTGTGCTCCTCCTAGGCCCAGTAGTGAGTTGAGGCCTAGAACAGAGGCCAGGACAACAAGCTGGAGGAGAAGGGTAGTAGAGGAAGGAGGTGTTGGGGTGATTTTAAGGGCTCCAGGGAAGGTAATTGAGAGGAATGAGCAGGTGCGACTGCCAGCAATCGTGATGAGAACTCAGACAGAGTGGCAGAGTCTGGGTGCAGCTGGATGTACCCATTGGAGGGCCACAAAGCCCAAAGCCTGGACATGGACAGACTCTGAGGAAAGACATGGAATAAAAGAAGAAAGATGAGAGGAAGAAAGTTTTTGACTAGCTGGTCAGGGTCAAGTTCAGACTTCAGCTCCTCCTCCTTGCTTATCACAAGCAGTGGGTCCCCTCAAGACCCTTCTGTGGGTGGCAAACCCCTCACAGGGGGAGGGTGGGCACTGTTGCCTTCTGGGCAGTGCGTCCCAGCAGACCTTGAGCTGTTCCCACTACTGAACTTGTGGCTTCCCAGCATGGCCATGGGAAGCACTAGGTGTGGAACACAGAGGACAGGCCCATAGGTCTGTCAGATGAGCCAAGACCAAACCTCCCAGCTGCCTCAGTGATCCCCAAGGCCAGGTGCAGAGCTGGCCTGGGCTGTGGGGGAGTTTCTGGCACTTAGGTGACAGTGCAGCTGGCTCCCCACCCACCCTCTCCCATCGGCATGTTCCTTGTGCATTGGACAGAGAAGGCTCTCAGGTGAAGTGCTGTGAGATTTGTTTAAGATCCTTCAAGCTGCTTCTGAGTGATCTGAAGAGAGAAAGCAGAGTTGACAGGCAGGCCACTCCTTGCAACCAAATACCTGGTGTGAAATGCCCGGGGGCCATCCCGCCTCATTTCTGACTCATGGAGGAGAACTTTCTGGGCAGCCACGCACTGGTGAGCACCCCAGGAGGTGAAGAGGAAGCCAGTGTGCAGAGTTCCAGGGGCTTGGCACAGTGCCTGGCTTTTATGGGTTTTTTTCTAAACTCACAATCCTGTCTCTGGGCGAGGTTTTTCATTTCCCAGAACCCTGGCAGGCTGAAATGATTGATTATGTATTTATTATGTGTCTTTGTTCTGCCTCTGGGAAAGGCAGCACGTTTAGTGCAGAAGTGTGCGTGTATGACCCCTCCAAACTGAAAAGATCGTATTTCTAGCAGTGGTTTTGTGAGTTTACTTTTTGTATTACTTAAAGCAACACAGCAGCCAACCTTCTCACCCTCTTCCTTTTCTTAAGCCACTGTGCTTTTATCTTGGGAAACTGAGGTGTGTGGTGTGGGTTCCTCCAGCCTGGACTTGCCCTTGCAAGTGGTTTCCTGATGCAAGCAAAGGGCCTGTCTCCAGCCATAACAGAAGGTTGCTTTCCTTCTGCTTTGGTTCCTGATTTTGTGATGGATTTGGCAAATGTTATTGCTAAAATGGCTTGCTCCCATACTTCCGGGGTTTTATTTCTGGAGAGCATCTGGCCGGTGCAGGCTGACCTGGAAGCAGGTGGTCACTGTTGTGGTACCCTCCAGCCTGTGCTCTGTTGACCTCCCTCAGGGTGCAGTGGCCTGACCATACCTGCATCCAGTGTTTGTTGAGGCCCAGGTCTCCTTGGAGACCCCCAGGAAGCTGGGCTAATGGGAGGCTGCAGAGCGCTGGACTGTGTGTGCCACAGTGGGGCCCAACTGTGGCTTTGGCCAGGGATATGGGGCTTAACTGAGGGTGTAGCCAGAGGTGAGGCTAAATTGTGGGTATGGTTAGAGGATGGGCTCCAGGGATGTATCCAGGGATGGAGTTAAACCGAGGGTGTGGCCTGGAGTGGGGCTACATTGGGCATGGTCAGTGGGTGTGACCAGAACGAGGCTAAGTTGTGGTTGTGGTCAGGGACTCAGCTGGGGGATGGGACTGAACTGGGGCTTAGTTGTGAGTGGGCCCACAGTGGGGGCCAGGGTCTTTCTTTAATCTCTCACCTCAGGAGCCCGGTGTCCCTGGCCCCTCCCCACCCAGCTGGCTCACTGCCCCGAGGGGAGGCAGGCTATCCCTCAGCCACCCTGTGGATGTTGATTTTCTCTTGGCCACTGGCCAGATGCTTACCCCACCCAGTTGAGGACAGATAGGTGGAGTGGTGTGACACTCATCCCTGTTTCTGTTTCAGCAGAAAGTCCCTACTGGACGGGGAGGTCTGCATCAAAGCACCTCCCCCCTTCTCAGTGGCCTCCCCGTTTCTCAGTGGCCTCTCCCCTTCTCAGTGGCCTCCCCCCCCTCAGTGGCCTCCCCATTTCTCAGTGGCCTCCCCTCCTCAGTGGCCTCTCCCCTTCTCAGTGGCCTCCCCCCTCTCAGTGGCCTCTCCCCTTCTCAGTGGCCTCCCCCTTTCTCAGTGGCCTCCCCCCGTCTCAGTGGCCTCCCCCCCCAGTGGCCTCCCCCCCTTCTCAGTGGCCTCCCCCTTCTCAGTGGCCTCCCCACTTCTCAGTGGCCTCCCCCCCCAGTGGCCTCTCCCCTTCTCAGTGGCCTCCCCCCTTCTCAGTGGCCTCCCCCCGGGCAGTAGAGACCATGTGGGGTCAGCAGTGGGTGACACTAGCCAAGAACCCAGCCTGAGCAGCCCCAGCTCCACAGTGTTTTTAAAACTTTGAATCTAATCCCAACATTTAAAAAATTTGTGCCTCACAAAAATATGTATTTCTAGCTCCTCAAAAAAACTAGATGCTCTGCCTACCCCTTGTCCCTGAGTGCCACTCACTGGTGGCAGTGACAGTGATCCGGGCTGAGGAAGGGCACCTTGGGCATGGCTGCCAGGTGCCTTCCTCTCCCATCCACAGTGGGCACCTGAGACGCTGCAGTCCCTGGTGAATGAGACAGAGAACCAGGAGCTTGATCATCACTCATGGACCTAGAGGCCCGTACATTGCCGAGTGGCTCCAAACGGCTCCCGCCTCAGAGGAGTCTCCCACTGAGCCTAGGCCCCTCTGCAGTCCCTGTGCAGTGTCCCCCGCCTCTTTGGGCTGCTCGCTGAGCCCAGCCCCTCTCTGCGCAGTTCCTCTGCACAGTAGTTGCCATCCTCCTGCACTACGTCTACATGAGCGCCTTCGCCTGGACCCTGGTAGAGAACCTGCACGTCTACCGAATGCTGACCGAGGTGCGCAACATTGACACGGGACCCATGAGGTTCTACTATGTCGTGGGCTGGGGCATCCCGGCCATCGTCACAGGTGAGGATGCACAGAGCAGTCCTGTCACGGTGGCAGATACAGATTCGTAACCAACCACTGCTTAGTGGGGATCCACATGTCATTGCTGGAACCAGTGACCCTCCATGCAGGCAGGAAGGGCTACCTGTCCTTTCTCTCCCAGCCCTGCATGTTTATCTGTATACACAAGGGCAGTCGCTCAGTGCCCACCTGGGAGATGTGTCTCTGGTCAGGTGCAAGCTCCTCAAGAGCTGAGCCAAGGACTGTTCAGGGTTCTTTCTGTACCACCTAACAGAACAAAGTTCCTTGTCTGTCACTGGATGGGGAGGGGATGAGTGAGTGAGAGGATTGGTTAGGTGGTGGATGGGTAGATGGGTGGATGAACCGAAGACTGGGTCAATAGACAGGTAAGTGGATGGATGGATAAATGGAAGGGTAGGTCAGTGGGTGATCGGATGGATGGATGGATGAACATGAGGAAGTGGATGAAGGATGGGTCAATGGATGGGCAAGTGAGTGGATGAATAGACAGAAGGTTGATGGGTCAGTAGGTGAGCAGATGGATGGATGGGTGAGTGGATGGATGGAAGGATGGGTCAAATGATAAATTAGTGGATGAACGGATAAATGGATGGGCGGGTCAAAGGGTGAGCGAGCAGGTGGGTAGATGGATGGGTGATGAACAGATTGAGGCGGCAGTGGATGGATGGATGGATAGATGGGTGAGTGATGGGTGGATGGATAAATGGATGGATGGGTGGATGGATGGGTGGGTGGATGGATGGATGGGTGGATGGATGGATGGATGGATGGGTGGGTGGATGGATGAATGGATAATTGGATGGATGGATGGATGGACGGATGGATGAGTGGATGGATGGATGGATGGGTGGATGGGTGGATAAATGGATGGGTGGGTGGATGGATGGATGGGTGGATGGATGGATGGATGGGTGGGTGGATGGGTGGATGGATGGATGGGTGGATGGATGGGTGGATGGATGGATAAATGGATGGATGGGTGGATAGGTGGATGGATGGATGGGTGGATGGATGGGTGGGTGGATGGGTGGGTGGATGTGTGGGTGGGTGGATGGTGGATAATTGGATGGATGGATGGGTGGATGGGTGGATGGATGGAAGGATGGATGGGTGGATGGATGGATAAATGGATGGATGGGTGGATAGGTGGATGGATGGATGGGTGGGTGGATGGGTGGGTGGATGGATGAATGGATAGTTGGATGGATGGATGGATGGACGGATGGATGAGTGGATGGATGGATGGATGGGTGGATGGGTGTATAAATGGATGGGTGGGTGGATGGATGGATGGGTGGATGGATGGATAGGTGGGTGGATGGGTGGGTGGATGGATGGGTAGGTGAATGGGTGGATGGATGGATGGGTGGATGGGTGGATGGATGGGTGGGTGGATGGGTGGGTGGTGGATGGTGGATAATTGGATGGATGGATGGATGGATGGGTGGATGGGTGGATGGATGGAAGGATGGATGGGTGGATGGATGGATGGGTGGATGGATGGAAGGATGGATGGGTGGACGGATGGATAAATGGATGGTTGGGTGGATAGGTGGATGGATGGATGGATGGATGGGTGGGTGGGTGGATGGATGGATGGATGGATGAATGGATAGATAGGTAGCTCAATGAATACAACAGCAGTGCTTACTCAGCACGCTCTTTATTAAGTATCAGAAAGTCACTGTTTGCTTCCTATTAAAGAAAATTCACCCATCCAGCTAGTCCCTGGGGTCCCAGTGATGTGGACACAGTCTAGAGAGGGGAGTTGCTGCCACTGGGTATCCTCAGTAGCAGTGACAGGTCTCCCAGCCTCCTTGACCCTCTTGTGTTCCCACCCAGGAGCCTCCAAGGGCCCAGGGAGTTCTGAATGTGACTTGTGCCTCCATTTCAAGAGACCTTGAGGGACATTTGCAATCCTGGGTGGCCCACAGGGCAGGTGCAGGTGTGCCTCCTCCTCCTCCTCCTTCACTGAGGCAATGTCTGCTCAGATTAGTTGTCATCATCAAAGAATTTTCAGATGAGAAATGTGTTCTAGGAAGTGGCGTTTTAGCTCCACGATGCAAACATCCCGGGGCCTCAGACAGAAGGGTTCTGTCCTCCCCGCCCCCTGACCCCAGCCTCTGTCACATCACACATGTGAAGTGCCACTGCCTCCTGAGAGGGTTTTGGAATCCAAATCCAGATATTTCGCATTTCTAACTTGCTTTAAAAACAGACTTTGTTAAAGGATCGTGAGATGATTCCCAAGGATCCTCAGGCAGATATTGTTGGTCAATTGCAGCTGCCTCGTCAGGCTGTCTGGGGCTGCAGGGTCTCAGCACTTTTGTGGCCATCCCGAGCCCCACCCCTGGGCAAATTCTCTCAGGCTGCCTCGGCCCCTGTAAGTCTTGGTTGTCCACGTACCTCCCAGGACCAGGGGTGTATTTGTTCATTCTTTCATTCATTCATCCACCCATCAGTTGAGTGCCTCCTTTATGCCAGGCTCAATGCTTGGCCTGGGGTCACAGCAGTGAGAGGACTGCAGAGCCTCTGTCCTTGGGGAGTCACCCCTCCAGGTCAACGGGGCACTTAGTAACAACCCACCCAACTCTGGGTTCATACGCAGACCCTTCACTGAAGGGGGTGTAGAGAGCAGACATACGAAGGTACTCTCGAGGCAGATGGCTTCTGAGGAAGGGCCACTTGTGTTAGGGCTGGAGGTGTGGCAGCACATGCGAGACCACAACAAAGAATATGGCTGGCTGAGGACTGACCCGAGCCCAGGACACGGTATCAGAGAGCCATATGGGCTGCAGCCTCCCAAGTCATGGAAGAATCCAGGTCTGTCTCCTGAGGGCAGTGGGTGGTCATTAGAGGGTTTAGGAACAGGGGAGTGACCTTTCTAAGATTTAAGTAAGGAGAACGGTGGAGAGGGTGTGGAACGATCCAGGCTGGGTCTGGAGTCTTAGAAGCCACCAGGGCACACCTGAGCCACCAGGGCACACCTGCTTATCCCTCCTAAACAAGGTTTCCTTTGAAGATGGTCCCCTAAACTTTGTCCTGGTGGTGCTGTGTGAACAGGCAGTCCTCACTCAACTTAGCACCAGTTGTTAGAAAGATGGCTGTGCCTAGGTGACATGGGGACTCCATGTGCATAACACTCCCAAATGTGAAGCCATGGTGGGGGTGGGAGTGCCTGTATGTGGTGTGTGTGCACTTGCGTATGCATCGTTTTGGTATATGGGTGTGTGCGTGTGTGTGTACGTGGTGTGTGCATAGATCTGCCTACCACAGCCCCATGGGTGACGCTATGCCTCCAGCTGTCTCAGGGCCTTCCTCCCTTGCACCTTGGGTTGGCCTCTGCAGGCTGGCCACAGGGCCCTCCCCAGTGAGACTACTTTCCTGGCTCTTTCATTACAACTCTCTTGTCTCTGGTCTCCCTCAGACCCCTGGCCTCAGGGCCTGGGGCAGATCTGCCCGAGTTGGGGTCATGGCCTATGATTTACCTTGAGAGGCTTTGTTCAGAGGGGCCCTGGATGGGCTCCCTGGGCCTTTGTCACAGCTAGGTCTTTCTCTCAGGGTTCCTGTTCTTCCCTCCCAGGTGGGGGGTGATACTGGGTCTCATGGGTGGCCACTAGGCTTTGTGGCCCTCACTTTTCTCTACCTTCCTGATGTATCCAGGACTGGCGGTTGGACTGGACCCCCAGGGCTATGGGAACCCCGACTTCTGCTGGCTGTCCCTTCATGACACGCTGATCTGGAGCTTTGCTGGACCCATCGGAGCGGTTATAATCGTGAGTGCTGGGACCTTTGCAAGCTTGCCCTGTGGGGACAAGGAGCCCCAAGGGTGGGTGGCTGAGGTCACCGACTTCTCTCAGTAGCCAGGGTGGGCAGGAAGGGTATCCTCAGATCCACAGGTACAGGTTATGTTTCCTGTCCACTGAGAGACACCGTCCTCCCACCCCCTGGAAGGTCCACGACAGGCAGGCTGCAGCCTGGCCACGGGATAGCCTCACCCAGCACGCCTGAGGCGGAGGCCTCTCATCCAGCCGCGTCCTAAGATGAGGATGCAAATCCACTGAAGCATTTGTCTTGCACAGACAAAAGAGTCGGCCACCTGACTCTGTTTTTGTTTTTTTTTTCCAGATCAATACAGTCATTTTTGTCCTGTCTGCAAAGGTTTCCTGCCAAAGAAAGCACCATTATTATGAAAGAAAAGGGGTTGTGTAAGTTGGGGGTGAAACTGACTGGTGGGGTAAGACCTGTTACGTGGGCCCAGAGTCCACTGAATGTTCAGTGTGCATACTGGGCAGGACCTTGTGAAAGTGCCCATTGCTCAGACCCTTGGCCACTCACTCACCAGGGGGCAGCACAGCCAGGAGATGGGGCAAGCACTGGACTTGAGATGCTCCCCACAGTGGAGCTACAGGACTTGGAGGTGGGTTAGCTGAGCAGGAGGGATGCAAATAGTGGCTCCTGGTCCCTGGGACGGGCTGGGGCTATAGTAACTGGATGGAGGAAGGGGGCACAGTAAGAGATGGTCCCATGTTAGGGTCAGACATGTCATCAATGTTGAGGAGCCTAGAAACAGCAGGGTGGGGGCCGATGGGTGGGAGCAGGGAATAGAACATTCTGGTTGGTGGTAACAGAAATGCTGGGGCCCCTGTAGTGGAAGAAACCCCTGTCAAGAGGGTGTAGCCTGAGAAAAACGGGAGTCAGTGCAGAGGGAATTTCCAAGGGTTTAGGGCTAGGGGATTAGAGGGGACCCGTGAAGCCCCCCGAGGAGCAGGCCAGGTGGTAGTAGGCCTCAGCACAGTATCCAGAGTTGCAAGGAGCAGGAAAGGATGACAAAGGGGCATCTGTTGGGTGGCCAGGGCCTGGTAACCTGCTTGAGGGGAGATGAGGCCAAGCCAGGGGTTGGGTGAAGGGATGGTGCACAGGAGGAGTTCTCGGGGCAGCAGGAAGGTGCCGGGGAGTAGGGTGGGAGAGAGAGGGGGTAGGCAGAGGCGGGGCCAGTGGAGACAGCAGCTTTCTGCCTGAGCTCATCCTCCTGTCTCCAGCTCCTTTCCTGACATTCAGTCACAGGGATGCACTCAGTCCTGTGACCTGTGAGGGGAGGTTACTGTTGTCATCCACTTTTACCATGGGGGAGAGAGGCAAGGAGTGGGGAAGTCACTTGCCTGGGTCACACAGCTAGCGAAGGGCAGCGCAGGACTTAACACATCCACATACACAGAGGCCTTGACCACTTCTTCTGTACCACTCCTTGCATTTACACAATTTTCACATTGCACAAAAGCTAGTGCAGCCTTACGCGCCAGACATCAGGGCAGGTCCCACCTGTGTCACATGCGGGAATGCTGGGGGCAGTGGCCTGTGTTAAGTTGTCTTGGCTTGTACTTTCCCATTCATTTTCATTTTCATTGATTGCCCCCTTCTACCACCATCCCCCCTAGCATAAGCTCTGTCTCCCTTGTTCCTGGTAGGAGGCAGGGCCTGGCTCATGAAGGAACTTAGGAAGGGTCTGGGGGAGGGAGGGATGTGGGTGGATGGGCAGGTGCAGGTGAATGGATGGATGGGTGGGAGGCTGGGTGGATAAGAAGGTGCATGGATGGGCAGGACTGATGACTGGGTGGATGAACAGACACACATATGGATGGATAGTCCAAGGGAGACTCACACCATTGTTCCACAGCTCCCTGCTGAGGACTGCCTTTGTTCTGCTGCTGCTCGTTAGTGCTACCTGGCTGCTGGGGCTTCTGGCTGTGAACAGCGACACACTGAGCTTTCACTACCTCTTTGCAGCCTTCAGCTGCTTACAGGTAGGTGTTGGGCAGGGTCACCCGGTGGGGCCCTTGCTTGAGCCAACCCCAAAGGACCAGCAGTGCCATTGTCCTCAGGTAGCCATGATGCACAAAAGCTAAGGGCAAAGCCTCACCAGCAGAGAAGGAAGCCTGAGGTCCCCAGCTGTCTCTGTTCCAAGTCTTCCAGACCCTGTCCTGGGGTCCTCCTGTGTCTGTCAGGACACAGCCATGGCTCAGTCAGGATAGGGCTCATTCCTTCCTCCTGCCACTGCAGGCCAGCCCAAATCCCACTTGTGTCCCCAGGAAGGGCCACCTGACTTTATGACACCTTATTGGGAACTCTGGATGGCCCAGGAGGCTGTGGCCTGAGACGGGGATCTCACTACCCTCGATGAGCTGCTGCCCTGCCTACGCGTCGGTTTCTGAGACTCCTGTGCCTGAGAAAGCAGCAGCCCTTGATTGCGGGGCGGGGAGGCTTGGTGTGGGCATTGGGCGTCTCCTGGCTGCACTAGCCAGGATGTCCTGGCAATGAGCTCCATGCCTTGACGGGCCACCAGATGCCACCAGATGCCTAGTGTGGCAGTGTTAGGACTATGTAAGTCACACCCGGCCATGAATTGCCGCTCACCTCCCTCCAGGGCCTCTTTGTCCTCCTGTTCCACTGCGTGTTCAACAGGGAGGTACGGAAACACCTAAGGGCAGTGATGGCTGGGAAGAAGCCACACCTGGATGACTCAGCTACCACCAGGGCCACCCTGCTGACGGTAAGAGGCATTGGGGACCCTCAGGAGGCCTGGGAGCTGGCAGCACTGCTCATGGTGTTGTTGTTTGGGGATGATGAGGACCAGACATCAGCCTGAGCTCTGTGGCCTTCATGTCTCAGCACCAGCCACAGAATGCCATGTGTCTCCTTAATATCTCCTGGGAAAATAAGCAAAATCGACTTGATGGGGGTCTCTGTCCAGTTATAGCCCCAGTTCTAAGGTCTTAGGAAGAATGGAGGCCAGGCCAGGTGAGGACCTCCTAACCAGAGGCCCTGGCTGTAGTTAGCATGGTGTCCCCTGACTACAGTTTTCCCTGCGCATACTGTTTTCCCTCCTTTTCACAGTGAAGGTCCCCGCTTGAGCTGGCCCTCCTGTGTGTGCTGGCCAGGGACTGCCAGAGGACAGAGCTATTCTCTGCGCAGGCGCGTGGCAGCCTTGGCTCCCCGTTAACCGTCCCACTCTCCCCACAGCGCTCCCTCAACTGCAACAACACATACGGTGAGGGGCCTGACATGCTCCGTACGGCCCTGGGCGAGTCCACCGCTTCTCTGGACAGCACCACCAGGTCAGCCACCGTGCCTCACTGCTATCTTGGGGTGGGGATGGCAGCAGCTCCTGGGCTGGCCTGCTGGGAAGGCCCAGGCTATGTGTCCTGCCATTTGAGTTAATGAGTCTGACCCTGCATGCTGGAGGCTGTTGCATCCATGCCTTGGGTTAGATGAGAACACAGATGGGGTAGTTTTAAGCTATCTTCTAGAGCACTGTGTGGCCTTTCCAGCACATGCAATAGGTGCTCTGTGACACTGGCGGCCTATCACCTGTCCTTCTGAGTGAGTGCTGAGGCCCACTTGCCTCCTCTCTAGGGATGAAGGGGTCCAGAAGCTCAGTGTGTCCTCTGGGCTGGCACGCGGTGGCCATGGAGAGCCAGACTCATCTTTCATCCCCAGGAGCTCCAAGAAACCCCATGGTATGGTTTTTCTTGGTGGGTGCAGAGCCCCCGACCCATTCTTGTTTGCCTCAGCCTCTGCCACTGGAGCACACACCTTTGAGGGTGCATTGTGGTTCTGTCATGTGCAGAGGGTCAGCACCTCTGAGCCTGAGCTTCCTGCCCTGGTCCCCTGCAGGCCCTGACTCAGACTCGGACAGTGAGTTGTCCCTGGATGAGCAGAGCAGCTCCTATGCCTCCTCACACTCGTCGGACAGTGAGGATGATGGTGGAGAGACCGAGGACAAGTGGGACCCAGCCCAGGGCCCTGTCCACAGCACCCCCAAAGGTGAGCAGTGGGGACACAGCAGGCCAGGTGCTGACTGTGGCTGGTATCCTCTACCTGCCTGCCAGGACATGTCTCTCAGAACTGGAGCCACCCAGGACAGCTCAGGCAAGAGCTACTGAGCAAAGCAGGAAGTTTTGGGAGTCTCTGTGGATCACCACGAGGGGTGGGTGAGGCTGCCAAGAGTGCAGCCAGTGCATGGCTCCCAGTGTTGGGTACAGCAGGGGAGTGGTACCCAGTGTCAGGGCCTTCCCTCCGTGGGCCTCAGTTTCTCCATCTTGGAGTGCAGCTCTGCCAGATCTGTAGGTTGAGGAGCCATGAGTGAATGTCACTCTCCACCAGCAGAGTAAACCTGTAAGCAGACTGGACTGAGTGTCATTTTTATGTCCCAGGGGACACTCTGGGCAACCATGTCCCAGCTGGCTGGCCCGATGAGAGCCTGGCTGGGAGCGACAGTGAGGAGGCAGGCACTGAGCCCCACCTGAAGGTGGAGACCAAGGTCAGCGTGGAGCTGCACCGCCAGGAGCAAGGCAATCACTGTGGTGACCGACCCCTCGACTGGGACAGCGGGGGCCTGGGCAAGCCTGCAGCTGTGCTCAGCAACCAGCCCCCGGAGCAGAGGAAAGGTGCCTCAGGAGGGACAAGCTGCCACTGGGGCAGGCCCTTGTCCAGTGGGTGGGGGACGGGTGGGGTCTTGTGGGGAGCCTGGGCAATCAGTGGTACCTGCTGGCCCAACCATGTGGACTTTGAGAACTGGGAAGGCAGAACAGATCCCGAGAAAGGCTTGCTCACTCGTCCCAGGACCGCCCTTCTCAAGTCTGCTGTACCACTAGCATCTGCCTAGACTGACCATGACAGTGTCCACCCCTCTCCTCCCAGGCATCCTGAAAAACAAAGTCACCTACCCTCCACCACTGCCAGAGCAACCACTGAAATGCCGGCTGCGGGAGAAGCTGGCTGACTGTGAGCAGAGCCCCACGTCCTCACGCACATCTTCTCTGTGCTCTGGTGATGGTCGCGCCCCTGACTGTGTCATCACCATCAAGACCCCACGTAGGGAGCCAGGCCGGGAGCACCTCAACGGGGTGGCCATGAATGTGTGCACAGGAAGTGCCCAGGCGGATGGCTCTGACTCAGAGTAAGTAGCTTTGGCCTCCAGGGCCTTTGCTGGGGTGGGCACAACCAGCTTTCCGCAGGGCCCTGGAGTGCCCAGGCATCCCCTCTCCTGAGTGGGGGTTTCTGCCCTGGCATGACTTCAGACCCCACCCAGCTGTCACCTTCACTGACCCTCCACCTGCCTGATGATTCTTCCCACACGCAGAGGCAGTAACGAAACTTCAATTTGAACCATCAGGAAACCGTGAGGCACGCCTGTCACCCCACAGACCTCATGTTGTCAAGCCCTGGACCGCAGCGCTTGAGCACCTTCTGCCTATGGGGCAAAGGCAGCCCCAGGTGTGAGGGCCCTGCAGTGGCAGCTCCAGACAGTCCAGACACTACGTTCTTGGCCCATGTGGGAGCTAAGGACCCATCAGATCCTGTGCAAGTGCCAAAGCCACAGGCATGTCTCTCAAAGGAGATGTGGACTCTGGGCCGGCATAGCTTGTTCCTCAAGTTCCTCAGACTGAGACAGCCAGAACCATGAAGCCAGCCTGGCCTTGAGGGTGAGAGAGCTGCCACGCTGGACCCCTTGGCTTGCCAGGGTTTGGGGATACCGTGCAGACTAATGCCAAGCAGCCTCCCAACCCTTTTGTTAAAGCACCCGTCTTAAAGTGAACTACTCTACTGCCGCAAGTGTAAATACTTTCATGTATTTGTGGAGAAGACAAAGGCCTGTGTATATTCTGCATTGCATGGACTTGGTTACTAGTGGGAGAGCCACGGAATGACCTCTTACTACATCTGCCCAAGGAAGACTGAACAGTGGTACTTGAGTCTGTAATGAGTTGACACAGCTGGTCCTGGCAGCTCCCAAAAAACCAAGTTCTTAAAGTTCCTGCAACTGCTTCTGGCCAGAAAGTCGGGGAGCATGGGCATCCAAGCACACACACATGTGCTCCGAGTGTGTGTGCTCTCAGCTGAGGACAGGGCCATCAGCGACCAGGCTGGCCTGTGGAGTGTGGCTGTGGAGCCATTGTTTTACACACCTGTTGTTCTCTGACTGTTCACCCCCCCCCCCCCCGCCACACTCCTGTTTCAGGCCCACTCCAGGCCTCCGTAGTCTTTCCCAGTTAGCCTGGTACTGCAGGTGGGGAATTCCTTTGTCCCTCTGCTCCTGCCCACAGTGGGATCCCAGAGTGTTCACGTTCCCAAATCAGTTGAAGCCATGAGGTCTTCCAGGATGTCACATTCCTTCCTGCCAATTTTCTAGCTCTTTCAGATTCTGGCACTCTCCAGACAGGCTGGGGTCCCTCCCCCAAGTCTCACCAATTACATCATTTTGCTTCAAATGGCCAATTGTGCAAAGAAACAAAGCCACAGCCACACTTTTCAATGGCTACCACTTTTTTTGGAAACTCATACCGAGGACCATTTTGATTGTCCCACTGTGGACTACTGGCACAGTGTAGCCCAAGGAGCCGCGCAATGGGGCCCGGAATTATTCAGACACGTTTGTTTCTGCATTTCCTTTGTTCTTCAAAGAAGGTGCCCAGATATGTGATCAGCACAGCTGCTTCCAAACATGGGAAACCCCACGATGTGATGGGAACCAAATAAAAGACAAAGATTTCCGCACCGGATTTTCGGTTTTGCCCATAAATGACTGCTCCAGGGAAACACACGTGAAATGGTCTGAGACCCCACACTGCTTCAGAATGGAACGAGGCCTCTGCAGACCATTAGCGCAGTGTCAGAGGGCATGGCAAGCTGCCACTGAGACACTCTCTGAGCACAAAGGGATTTTACATTTTCAGGTCTCGAGGCAAGCCACTTTCCTAGGATCACTCACTGTTGCTAAGTGGATCTCACCCCTGAAGGTGAGGTTTTTAATCTGATCAGAACTGTTACAAAAAACAGTTGTTTTATTAAGATGGTAAAATTTTAAACTTATTTTTTATGACTTAAGACTTTATGAGCAATTAAGACACTGGAGGTTTGTAACGTGTATTTATTAATGTTCAGCACTGGAACAATGACGAGGAGAGGCTACAATAAATTAAGATTTTTGAATTTGTACCTGTGCCGTGCTGCTTCCTCCCTCTCTGCTCTCTCGCCATAAGGCACTATGGAGGGGACACTTTCTAAGTCTGTAAGTCAGGATATGGTGCCAGAACTTTCTAGTCATTCTCAGGCCCTGCCACAGGATGGATGGGGAGACCCTACCTAGGGTTTTCTGGCTTTTTCTTCCGGTAGTACTGGGGTTTGATCTCAGGGGCCTGGCTTGCCAGGCAGGCGCTCTGCTACTTGAACCATGCCTCCTGCCCATTTTTTGTTTATAGGTTCTTTTCTAGATAGGGTCCCTTTTTGCCTGGGGCAGCCTGGGACTACAGTCCTCCCACCCATGCCTCCCACTAAGTGCAATTACAGGCATATAACACTGGGCTTGTTTGTTTAGATGGCGTCTTACTTTTTAATCCTGGCCTTGAACCATGATTCTTCGAATCTTAGCCTTGCTAGTAGCTGGGATTACAGGTATGAGTCACTGTACCTGGCCCAGTGAATTCTTACCTTTCAAATATAATTTTCATTTTAAAATGTCCTTCCTCTTTTTTCTTTCTCTGTTGGATGTTGTTTCCTTGCCTTCACCTACTGGGGTGGGGGAGGAAGCTGCTCTACCCTCTGATGATTTAAATATTTGGGTCCTCGTTTCTCTTGGCACTGAGAATTCCACTGGCATTATGATAGGTCAACTCTGGGTCAGGTTAACATCCTTATTTTAAACACCAACCTGTGTGTTTCAGCAGCAAGCAACCGCTCAGGCTCCATCGCTAGTCCTGTTGCCCCTTGAGGGGGTGACAGGGAGTGTTCAATGCCAGGTCCAAGGAAGGCCTTGACATGCCGTCTTGGGTGTGCCCTGTACCCCATATATATGTAGCTGAAGCATTTCAGGAAACACACCTCCAGCTCTTACCCTCTGGGACCCCCTCACCCTATCTCCCAGTGACCCTTTTTAGTGGTTCCAGCACCTGCACTGTCTCTCACTTCTGCCCAACTAGGACCACCCAACTGGGAGCAAAGAGAGATAGTAGGGATTCCTCCCTCTTCAGCAGCTCCTAGGGTCCTCACCTGGTGCCAGCTGCACAGCTCCAGAGATCAGGGCCACTCCAGGACCAAAGCTGAGAAGAAAACAACCCACGAACACCCATGCTGAAAGCCATTTTCAAGTGTTCCTCCTGCATACCTACCGTGCACCTTTCGAGGTGCTTGCTAGTGAACATGACAGAGCAGGTGACAGGAAGCATCACTCCGTGCTTGTTCTTCCTAGGTGTGGGTGCCCTTGCAGGGAGATACCATGTGCATGCCACGTACAAGCTCCAGACACTGAGAGGCCTGACGTGAACAGTGCTCTGCCCCCCTCACATGCACAGGCTCAGGCCCCAGGGAGGAGGCTGGGGTATATGTAGGTCTCTTCTTATGGTTAGAAGGGCAGTGGTGAGAAGCCCTGCAGCAGCCCACCCAGGTCTCCCAGGTCCCGACACGGTCACACTCCTTATTCCAGACAGTTTTATTTGATGCTGCCCTGCAAGTCCACACAGCCTCCACAGGTCCTGCAACGTGCTCACAGGGGACTGTCCCTGTGTGGGTGTGAAAGAGGAACTCGACACAAAGAGCCCTCGTTGGGACATACCCACTGGCCGGCAAATGCTTCTGGTCCACCAGAGCTCCACCTCAGAGAAGATGGACCCTTCCTGGGGATAACCTGCTCTGCAGTAGAGTTGGCAGGGCCCCATGGTTCAGGCAGGACCAAGCCCATCAGTGCTTACTAGTGACCAACTGCCCACCACTGCCAGCCCTGGGCTTTGCCTTACAGGTTCTCCCAGCAGTTCAGCCTCTGTCAGGGTATGGGATGCAGGCTTGGGCTGTCACCTGAGCCTTCAGGGGCTTCTCTGGCTCTGCTCTTGCCCTTCTGGAGTGTGTAGAGGGATGGTCCCAAACGTAGGATTTTCCCGCTGCCCAGACACTCATCACCTTTGTAGAACACAGCAAACTGGAAAGGAGGAGGCCATGCTGTGGGGCAGGGGCACCTGCAGAGCAGCAGGAAGGTGCAGGGAGGGCTGGGCTTGGGATATGTGCGTCAGGCTCTCTGGCTATACAATCACAATGCCAAGGCCCTAGGCCTTCTCACTGCAGCAGTGCCCCACTCACCTGTCCCAGTGCAAGGGCTCGCACAGCCGTCACAGCTGTCACCCATACGGTGCCATCCTGATTGAGGGTCAGCACACAGGGCACTGTGGGGAAATGTGCCTAGGGGTGGGTGTGGGTCTAGCCTCATTGGCCAGCCCTCAGCCTTGGCCCTAGAGAGGAGGAGAGCTGACTGTGGAGGTGCCCCCTTTCAAAGGAAGGCTCCAGTATCATTTCTGCCAAAGAAGGACAGGACAGTGGCCAGGGTTGCTCAGAGCTGTTTCAGCCTATGGACATGGCAGGACACCTCAGGGACACCACATGCCACCTGCTGGCCTAACCTACAAACTTGCACCCTCATTCCTGGCCCACTCCTGAGCCATTCCCAGCATCTCAGATACTGGGGCACTGCAGCAGCCCAGTACCCCAGTCCCCATGGCAGGCACAGAAAAAGTAATTTTGAGAGGTTACATAATCTTGACAAATGGGGAATTTTCCTGCCTGAGGGGTTCCTCTTCTGTCTAAATCTGATCCCAGGAAGATCAGCTCCAGTGGCCCCTCTGCTGACTTACCTAGCGCCATCTGGTGGCGGAATCGGAAGTGACACTCCATCATCTTATCCAGGACCAGGGCGGCTGGTGGCTCCTCTGCAATCCAATGTACTCGACCAGTGCGAGCAGGTCCCTGTACAGGGCGGGGTGGTCTGTCCGGGGGGCCTGCAGGGTGGATACCTTCAAGCCCTTAGGAAGACGCATCTCACAGTGTGTCACCAACAACAATCCTAACAGCAAACACATCGACAATTGGCCCTGGCCCCATCAGTGTTTTAGGGATGGAGAAATTCACAGCTCAAGGCCTTATCATCCCTGCTTTGCAGCTGAAGAAACTGAGGCACAGGACTTCTCTGTTCCCAGGGATAAGAGTCAGTCATGCTACTGCTACTGGCCTGATTCTCAGAAGGGCTAGGAATCCTGTCAGCATCAAATGGCTGAGGAAAGCAGGGACTGGAGGGCGCTGACCTCCCACCCCACCAGCTGCCCAGGGATGTGCTCACACTGTAGAGCTGGCCCTCTCCACCAAAGGACTGTGGCACCTCCCAGGAGAGGCTAAGCCTTTCCTAGGGCAGAACCAAGAGCCTCAAATGTAGGGGCTTCTGCTTCTCAGTAGGCAGTAAATGTACCTGAGAAACCAGGAAGCTTCTCAAAGCAGACAGCACTGATAGCCTACCCTAAAAGCACTCTAATTCATAACAGACCAGGATTTTACACAGCTCTTCTGGAAGGTGTGTCAGTCAGCAGGAAAGTCTGCTGGCCCCTTAGCCTGTATCTGTGAGAATGTCCCCAGCATTTATGACAGCAGGAGGTGGCAGCTCAGCCTGCCAGAGCAGGTTCTCAACCTCTGCATGCCTGAGATTTGGGCTTGGTAATTCTGTCAGGGCTGGGCGCTGGTCTGTATGCACAGGCTGTATGCCCTACCCAAGTCAGGACAACCAAACCTGCTTCCAGACATTGCAAATCTCCTCAAAGCTCACCCACTTTGAAAAGCTCTGCTCCAGAGCAGGCCAGGGCCAGCAGGGCTCAGAGCCCCGCATGGCAAAGCCTGATGTGGTCCTGGTTCAGCAGCCTTCCTCAGCCCACAAGGACGTCCAGGATACTAACCTGAGCAGCACTGTCCTTGCATTATGGCAACCTTCTTTCCATGAGAAAGACTTTGCAAGTTTCCTAATTTCTCTGAGTCTCATCCTTCTTTGTAAAATCAGATAATATTTCCATGAATTCATGAGATGACAGATATGTGGGCAGTATACACTAGGAGCCTAATAAATACCTTAAATAAAACCCATCTGTTACCTGGGGCCAATCCTAGGATGCTATGGCAGACAGGCCTCAATGTTCCACCAACCTGCCACTCCAGGCCCTCACAAGTCCTGGCCTCATGTGCCCCCAGCCAAACGTGAGGACCAGCCCCCACTCACCACAAGTACGTCGCCCTTGACACCATCCTTCTCCACCACATACCAGGGCTCTCTCATGCCACTGATCTTCGCTCTCTGGCCCAAAGTATACAGGAACCAACCTGCGAAAGAGTCTGCTGAGGCCCGGGGATGAGTTCCAAGTGGAACAGCATGGCTCTCTCTTATAAAGCAGAGGCTGCAGAGCCTAGATCAGAACCAGCAGACTGCAGCAATGAGTGCCCATCGGGAAGCTAAGCTGCTCCAGCCTCTAAGGCAGGAACTGACACACACCTGAGCACATTCCACCCCTTGTTTTGTGTTGGCCTCAAGGGACACACCAGTGACTGAGAGTGTACCTCACCTGGCACAAGAAGCAGGACCAGCTCCTATAGGATGTGAGCTGAGACCAGTTTGAAGCCATGACCCACCTGTTTGGAGCCCTGGTGTGGCTGTGGATTTCAAAGACGGATCAAGCATACCACTGGCCAATGTCTCAGTAACTGGTGCTCCCCTTTCCCTGCTCTGCAAGCTCCCTCCCTCTCGCAGGACCACTAGTTCATCACCCCCAAGTCCTCAGGTAACACATGCAGGGGCAGAGGCACCGGCCAGGAGTCACTGCACTTTGGGCACAGACCCTGAACCGCCTGCAGCTGAAGATGGCAACTGTATCCCCAGCAAGGCTGTCCTCTCCAGTCTTACACACCAGGCTTCCCACTTGGCTATCTCTCCCCTGGCTCTCAGAGAGCCCCACTCCCTCCATGGGGCTGGCAGATCTCCACAGAGCACTTTGCTGTGAGACTTTCCATGTCTGAGCTCAGCCAAAACTCCCCTGGCATCATGCTCCAGGAGACTCATCCTCCCAGGCACACTGAGAGCCCTGCACCAGGACTGTGTGCATTTGTGGCTCTGTCCCTGTCCTCTCCACACCCAGCACAGTAGGTCATGGAAGCCCACCTATAACTATGAATGAGTGAGCAGCACCCAGAGTGCAACACTCCTGTGAAGAACACTTGCCCTGTCTGCCCACATGGCCAAATCCGGCTGAGAGCCTTCCATCAGGGCAGTTTTCTGCAGTTTCACATTTTACTCACCCATTGAAAAAAGCACTCCTCTTTCAGGAACTTACACACACACTGAGAGAGCAGTCTGAACCTGGGGGTGTTTATGCCAGTGTTTAAAAGTGGCGCACACAAAGCCCCAGTTAAAGTGACTGTTCATGCCCTGAGCCAAGCAGCCAACTCCAGCCAGTCCCATAGCCTCCACGACTACCTGGCAGAGTGGAGAGACCCAAGGCATCTGTCTCCAGCTCCCAGAACTGACATGTACCTACAACTCGAGATGCTGAAGGAAAAGCAACCACAGGCTGCACCTCACCTTTGTGTGTTCCCAGAACTGTACTGTCTTCAATGGAAATAAATTTCCCAGGCCGAGGCTGCAAATACTGAAGACAAAGATCTCATTACTAATGGAGCACCAGGTCCAGAGAAGACCCGGCCATCCTCAGGTCAAAGCATACTCACCTGAAGAATGAAATGCTCAAAATTTCTTTTACCAACAAAACAGATGCCCATGCTCTGAAACAAGAGAAAGATCAACATGAGATGAGCAGACATCAAGAGATGTCATGGGTGAGAAGAGCCTGGGGGGATGGGGAAGGCCGCACTGCAGCAGGATCCATGGCTGCCCTGGCATCACCACCAACCACGCTTCTGGGCCAGAACCTGGTCCCTCCTCCAGCATGGTCAGATAGCAGATACAGCCACAAACAAAATCCAGGGGCTCAAAGAAAGCTTTATTGTGTCATTCCTTTCTAGACTGGGGTTCCCAAATGTGGATGCTGCCATATAAGCACACTGGGTCGCCTATGCGTCCAGCAGAGTCTGACCCTGGCATTGCAGAACATCCTGCGAGCTCCCCAGCAAAGAAAACTAGCCATGCTCAGCCCATGGAAAGGCAGGAACCAGAGCAGGAGCAGGAAGCAGAACACCAGGTCCAATGTCAAGGGCAGCTGGGAAGCCCCTTGCCTTGAGCTGGTTGCTCCCAACACAGGAGCCTGGGCAGGAAGGAGGTCTTCCTGCTGCTATGCTTGGCAAGAAGCTTTACCATTTATTCTTTGGTTTGTTTCCCTCCAGAATGTGGACCCAGGAAGGCAGGGACCTGCCCCATACATCTTAGTAGTTCCCTTAGCCACCAAGAAAACTACTGAAACTGAACAACGGAGGAAATGATGGGTGGGGGGTGGCTATAGTTGAAGCAGCACTGATCCCTGAAGGAGGTGGGTTTGGCAGTGCCCGAGTTCTGCTGAGCTTGGGAGGCTCACTGGGAGCCCTGTCCTCCATCTAGAGCTCCAAGGCACAGCTTTACCCTAATCCACCAATACTTCTGGCTCTCTCCTGCCATGAGGCCTCTGCAAGTACTCTTTCTTTTATGTGGACTGTTTCTCTGGGCCTTAACCTCACACTAACCCTACTCCTGGCTTCAGGCCTCAGGTTAAATGCAACTTTCTTGGGGCTTTTCATGCCATCTCTGCCATGACCTAACGTGAACCCGCTGGCTTCTTTTCTCAGGACACTGACACTTCCTCCACAGGTGCCAAGTTTACAAGGACTGTCTTGCCTATGTCCACTCTTGAGAGTGCTCCACAAGGAAGAATGAGCTGTTTGCTTGTCACTAGCTCCTTGGGGTCTAGTGGCACCAGAGTATGTGCTGGCAATTGGACAGAAGAGCAGCTCTGAATGCAGACGGCTACAGAGCTGTTGCACAAAGTGGACACCACATGATGCCAGCCTGGCTGGCTGAGCCAAGAGCACCCGAACCAGTTACCAAGGCTGCTGGGAAAGCTGCCTGCCACACGGTGTGGGGAGGAAGGAGGTCAGCCTCAGCTGCTGCAAACATTTGCCTCACCTGCAACCACTGGGCCAAATGGCAGGTCCCAAGGAAGGGACCACACAGCCCAGCTTCATTCTGTGCTGCAGCCACAGTGGGTGAAAACATGCACAGGTCAAAGGCAAACTGCTTGCTCCTACCTCTTTCTTCTGAAGCACATGATGGAGTCGATTCTCAGCAGCTATTTTCTTTACAAAATCTTTCGTTAATCCCCCCAGAGGGAAGATGGTTCTTCTCAGGGCCTCCTGGGAAACCTGGCTGAGAAAGAAGGTCTGGTCTTTAAAGCTGTCAGCTGCTTGGAGAAGTTTTACGGCTGCCAAGAGTAAAGAACAAAAGATGTTGCAGGAATCCAGACAATGACACTTTGCCTTTAATAATGCCCTTCTGTTTACTTAGTCTGTCAGAGGCAAAACACAACTCTCGATAGCATACTACTAGGAAAAACAACCAGCGGGGCTAATATAAGGAGATTCTCACCCTTAATTTATCTACCATGAGGAGTTTATAAGGTTTTCAAAGATGAAACGTCATAAGAGAAGATGTGAAGTGGAAAGGGAAAAAAATAAAAGAAGTCTAAAGTAAATCCAGCCACATTTGGGAACTTGGACAAGACAGCAGGTGGCAGCTGTGCATTTTTGGTAACTACAGGTGTGGGTACAAAAGGTGCAAAGCGACACACAGGGCTCTGATCCCCAGGCCACAGGGTGCCCTCTATTCAGATGCACTTCCTCCCGCCTTGAGTTCAAGCTGCTGTAGTTTCTCTAGCATCCTCTAATTGTACAGAACCATTACTGCCTGTAAGACAACTATGCAGAGGTCAGTGACTTTTGCCCTGACCTTGGTTCTAAGGCCAGGCAACTCTGGGCCAGAACTTCCCAGGTGGGACCTGTCAGGTTCCCCACTCTCCCATTCAATGGCCACTGCAACTGGTCAGAAATCGTATTTCGGCTTCTTCCACCCTTTCTTATATCCAGTGCTAAGAAACACCTCAGAAGTTCTATGCAGGCACGCATGATCAGCTTAAGTAGCACTGCACATCTTATGGGTGGCACACTGCATTAGCAGTGTGCTATCTGCCTGCTGACACACCTGCTGGTTCTCATGCCAGTCCTGTGAGGCAGAATCACCTCATTTTACTGACAAGAACTACCATGGCCAGCCCACTATGATGCAAGGGTTGAAAGGCAGAGCTGCAAATTGAGCCACCTCCCAATTTCTACCCCATTATTTTGTGTATAAAAAAACAATACAACCAGCTGAAAATTAAATAGAGCTCTATTAGCCAGTTAGGTAAGCAGACTCGTTTCCCAAGGACTACTTTTTGTTTCAAAACTAAGTTCCATGAAACAGTGCATGTATATCTGAAAGCCTCTGAGTACTGACCGCAAGCTGCAATTTCTCCTAGCTCTGATTTATTTTTAAACAAATCAGAAACAAACAACAACAAAAAAACCCTATGACTTTGAAACAAGGAAGCTGGCAACTCTAACAGAACTGTGGTGGAGGAAAAGAATGGGAAGGAACTGACAACAGGCAAGGGCTTGGTTCACACTCCTCAGCTCTTTTGCACAAGTGAGGGAACCAGATGGTCACAAGGCCAGGCCCAGAGCTAGGGCCAATCCCTGAGCTCAGGCTTTTTCCTGCCCCATTTCTGATCCTCCAAGACACAGGCATGGATCACTAAATAAAACAGAAAATTTTGGTGTGCCTAAAACACACAGAAGAAACAAAGACACTGTAGCCTATTAAAGTCACCACACACTAAATAAAACTGACCCAACACAAAGAGAAGGTGGATACATAAAGTCCTGCCTCTTCTGGGGACCTCTACTCCCCAGCCAAGGGTGTGGCAGGAACAAGGCTCCAAAATCTGAATTCAGAAACCCCTAGGTGACTGCGGTTAGGCTGTTGGCCAGCCAGACAAGGAGCAATGTGGACCTCCAACCACACTGCAGCAATGGAAGCCCTGCAGATCATGGCTCTCAGCCCCAGGATTTCACTCAACAAAGATGAGACTTCCCTTGCCTGCACACAGATGCACCCCAGAGCAAGCCAGCAGCTTCCCACCTCACTGTATGGCATTTGTTTTTCCAGAAAATGCCTTTTGGCATTTGTAAGTGAACCTCTACATATACCTTTGTACACAGGTACAAGCTAACTGGCAGGCAGGTGCCAGTAATGCCAGGTTCCTGTGCTGTGTCACACCAAATCCCAGTCCTGAAAAACCTAATGCTAAGAAGGCCTTGGCTAAGCCTACAGCACTTCAATCATACTGTCAAAGATTTTCCTGAATGTTTTCGGGACATTCAAATTATCAACATATAATGTGTAGATTTAGATTAGAAACTTTGCCCAACCCTTGTCCTGGTACCTGACAGGGGCATCTTGTTTTCTTTTTTTTTTTGGCAGTACTGGGGTTTGAACTCAGGGCCTTATGCTTACTAGGCAGGTGCTCTACCACTTGAGCCATGCTCCCAGCCCTTTTAGCTTTAGTTATTTTTCAGGTAGGGGCTTGCATTTTTTTTTTTTGGGTGGGGGGGCAGAGGGGATTGGTTTGAAGGTTGACCTCAAACCACAATCCTCATGACCTCAGCCTCCACCATAGCTGGGACTATAGATGTGAGCCACCACACCCAGCTGGGGTATTTTTTATTGCCCAACCACAGGCCCTAGCAGAAACGACCCTGTTGGTAGATACATCTTTGCAAATGTGAACCCAAAACAAACCTACTAGTTTAGAGCATACAGAGGGAGGGGTGACCCATGTGCTCAGACTCCACTCCTGTCATTCTTCCAAATGTTTTACTTTGTTCACAAATAATTAAGCCCTGACCTTGGCACTTGAACTTACAATTTCTAACTTCAAATCGATTTCTGAAAAGTCCTTCTGGTCTCTTAACATGCTTCTGGTGAAAGACTTCTTCATCTTCCAGTGAAGTCCTGGCGTAGTGGCCTGTGGCAACAGCATCTGCTCCTATGGGGTTTTAAAAACACAAGGATGCAATTTGAGACTCAAACTCACCAGTCCTGTTAGAAAGGGCCAAGCACCAGAGGAAGAATGCAGATCCAGCCTCATGATGAGGGCTTGCGCAATAGTCTTCACCCTTCAGTGGAGAGACTGCAGGGGACACAGGCGTCTATTACATCTTGCTAACCTACCTGCTTTCAACTCTTATGTTGATATAAAACCTTGCTACAAAGTTTCACTGCATATTTTAAGAGCCTTACAAAAGTCAGTATTTACCCCTTCATTCATTCTAGTTTGAGGGAATAATAGGGGCTGGGGGGCGGGACTCAAGTGGTAGAGAGCCTGCCGAGGTTAAACCCCAGAATGAAAAAAAAAAAAAAATCAAATATGTACACAAAGATGTGAGTAAAAACACCCCCCTCAGAGTTTCTTATAATATTGAGGAAAGAGCGAAAACAACCAAATCCTCAGCACTAGAAGGCTGAGTTACAGTACCACAGCCTAAATGACAGTGGTGTGTACAAAGCATGCTTAATGAGGTAGGAAAATGCCTGTGATGTTAAGTGAGGGAAAGCTGCAGAATACTATGACCACATTACTTTTATTTATTTTCAATTTTAATTATTGTTTGGGGGGTACCTGGGGTTGAACTCAAGGCCTCAGTCTTGCTAGGCAGGACTTTCCACCACTTGAGTCACATCTCCAGCCCTCTTTGCTTCCGGTTATTTTTCAGGTAGGCTCTTCGCTTTAGTCCAGGACAGGTTTGAGACTGCTATCCTCCTACTTATACCTCCTGGTATTTGGGATTATACGCATGTAGCACTATTCTTGTCTTGTTTGTTGAGATGTAGTCTAACTTTTTGCCTGGGCTGGCCTCAAACCACCATCCTCCCAATCTGTTGCCTCACGAGCAGCTGGGATTGCAGACTCATTTTCTAAAAGAGAAAATCCAGCTTTGAACTATTTCCTTAAAGAGTACCATTTACACTGCAAGAAGCACACAATTCTTCTGTGAGAAACCCTGAGAATTCAGAAGACTGGATTTCCTGTGTTTAATCCCCTGCTGCACTTGTTTCAGTTGATCCACACTTAGAAGCAGGAGCAGCAAGAACCCCTTCCCAGTCACCCTGCCACACAGCACCTGGACAGCAGTGTGTGCAGTTCCCAGAGTCTGTCCTGATCCCAGCCCAGCCCTCTAGTGCCACACGATGAGTGGAGCCCTGACAAGTAATCTCCACAGTTCTCAGGGGACATATATCCAGACACCTCAGTAATCAGATCAATCCACACCCTGTCAGTCTATCACTTCTCTGTGTAACAGATGTGGTCCAACCAGGGCAAATCAGTTTCCACCCTCCTTCCTCAGCCAGCTCAGTCTACACCGACTTTCATAACATGTAAGACTGGCTCAGGCAGCTGAGGCACCCAAGCCCCCCAGACTCTGCACACAGATGACAACTCAGCAATTAACAGTCTTGTACCATGAGAATTGAACCCAGTTAGCAAACTTTGAGTTTTTATCTATAAAATTTCATGTTTTGGGTGTTAGCCCAGCATTCAAATTTTTCTGAGTTTTGTCTTTAAAGGCTTGTCACTTCTAAGGCCAAGAACTAATGTCTCATCGTCATCACATCTGCACCCACAGCTTGGTCCTCTTCCACGTCATTACTAAAAGGGCTGACCCTACTGGACCAGAGGCACATAATTACCTGCTGTTGTCTCACAGCAGACTGAGCTGCAGTGAGACAACAAATTGAAAGACCAGTATTGGAAACTTCAGAAATTCATTATGGTGACCCCAAAGGAGGAAAAAGAAACAGTTACCAAAAGGAAGTCTAAATAAGCCATTCAGTCTCAGTAAGATTCAATAAAGAGGGACAGGAAATACAAACATGCTCGCAGAACCAGAAGAGGGGAACTTAGGAACAGACGAAACATGCACATACAGTAGGCAGACAACTCGCCACCTGGCAGCAGGGCCCTGACCATAAAGATTCTAGGCCAGGGCCACCTAAATGGCATCAAACCCAGAACAGAACAGGGACTCGGGATCCAGAATCAGGTAGACCAGAGACCAGTTCTCAGAACAAAGAAGAAATTCCCTTTTGGAAGCAAGAGAAAAAGTCTCAGTTAGACAAGGAAAAAGGATTACTAAACCTGAGCCAGGAACCAGGGCTCCTGAAACCACAGAGTACAATCACTCTGCAACCAGGGCCGCCTCGAGCAAGGCTGAAGCTGCAGGTGGGGTGCAGTGGCTGCAAGCAGGGAGGCAGGGAGATGCTGCAACAGGAAGCCAGGCAGAATCTCATGCAGACTCAACGCCAGGCCCTGCCAGTTCCACAGGCCACTGGGGTTACAGCTCAGCTGGCTCTGGAGACTAAAGCATTTAAGGCTAGGTGTCCTCTGGTCTCCTGTGGGCCACAACACTCTCTCTGCATTGCTTTGGCTCCTGGTTTAAGGACTCCTCTCCATGCCAATGCAGTCCAATGACACACAGGCCCCTGGGCTCCTGGCCTGGTGCTGTCAAGCAGTCTGTGAACTCTATCTTGTGCTCTTCTGGCTTGGGCCAGGCCTGCTCTGTGGTGTTTTGCATTTTTCCAAAGTTCTAACCTTGTTCATACGATTGTAAGCCCACCGACTTGTGGCCTGGGGACGCAGCTCAGTAGTACAGCATTTGCCTAGCATGCACAAGACAATGGGTTCCATCCCAAGCACCACCAAAATACATAAACACATACATATGTGTTAGAATAGGTTCACTTTATTTTTCCGATGATGACACCTTGTTAAGTTATTATTCATTGAATGTCAGAATCTTATTTCTAAGCATCTCCTCCTCCGGAGGCAGTGTCACCTTTCAGCACCTTGGCCAGTGACCCAACACCTCCTTCCTCAGGATGGCTGATGTCAGTCGCCTGTCTTTACACATCAGCGGCCTATGAGGCGCACCCTCCTCTCATCCTATAGTCTCTCCTTCACCAACTATTCTTTCTTTGTCAGTGAATACTTTCCTCTATAAGAGGAAAGTGTTTACATGGTTTGGGCTCTGGCTGTGTCTGACAATCTCTGATTGTTAAAAACAAATGAAGGATCCCCTTTCACTTACCAAGATTATTCAGGGCGTAACGGTAAAAGCAGCTGAACTTGATGTGCTTGTTGCAGACTATATCAGGGTTGGGAGTCCTTCCTTTTTCATACTCATTCAAAAAATCACTGGAATAAAAGAAAAAGAAAAAGACCTTTCAGTTTTTTTTTTTTTTCTTTTTTGAGTGGTAGTGGGGTTTGGATTCAGGACTCACGCTTGAGCATGCCACCTGAGCCATGCCCCCAGCCCTTTTTTCTTTTAGTTTTATTTTCCAGATTGGGTCTCACTTTTGCCAGGGTCTGGGCTCAGATCATAATCCTTCTACCTCTGCCTTCCATTTAGCTGGTATTACAGGCATGCACCATCACATCTGGCTAACTTTTTAGTTCTAAGTGTGAAACATTCATCAAAAAAGGAATTAGCAGGCCAGCAAGGGAGGGTCATGCTTGTAATCCCAGCTGCCCGGCAGGTAGAGATGGGGAGGATCGTCGTTGAAGGCCAACCTGAGCAAAAAGTTGGTAAGGCCCCATCTCAATCAATAAGCTGGGTGTGGTGGCATGTACCTGTAGTCCCAGTTACAAGAGAGGCCATAGGTAGGAGGACTGAGGGCGAAAACTGGCCCAGGGAAAAAAACTTGAGACTATACCTAACCAGTAACTAAAGCTGGGGATTGTGGTTCACGTGGTAGAGTGCTGACCTAGCTGGTCCTCAGTTTAAACCCCGATACCCCAACAATAAATTAAAATAAAAATAAATCAGCTAGCTCACTTTAGCAAGTTCAAGCCGTTTTTTCTATTTTCATCAAACATTTGCTTAGAGCCTGCTGCACTTGCCATCTGAGACTGCAATAATAAGCCTAGGCCAAGAGCACGGTGCTGCCCCTGGGCTGTGGCTCAGGCACCATTGGCCAACCCTAGGGCTGACTGGACAAGTGGGTCAGGAGGGAGAGAGCACTGCACTCCTGCTCCCTGGGGCTCCTCCAAAGCAGGAGGGCCCAGAGGCAGAGGGAATATGCCTGAGTCACAGTAGGCATATCCAACTACAATATGTATTACAATGCAGGGCCCTTATGAGGCACAGGCTTTCTGCAAAGCCAGCCTAGGGACTCAGATCACTGGGCAAGTATGCTAAGAAACTTTCTTGGTGTGGCCAACATACACTTCTAAAGACTAGTGGCCTCCTGGATGCTTAAAGCATACACACCCAGCAACCCAAACCAGTGGATTCCTGTCCCGACAGACTGACTGAGCATGGGAGAGGGACGCTATGACACTAGCAAGCTTGATGAGAATTTCATGGTCTTAGGATTGTTGCCACAGCACCAGGGGCAACATGGTGCTGTTAATCTAGGCTGTTTAGTTATAGAGCCTCAGACGGCAAGTGCAGCAGGCTCTGAGGCAAATGACTGATGAAAACAGAAAACGGCTTTTCAACTAAAAGTCTCTATCTATCAACAAGGGCTTAAAAAATAATGCTGACCAAGAAGGTTGTATTGTGAAAACAGAGTCATAGGTCACTGCACTGCCACTTTCAGCAGGCAATGCCACACTATTTCCTATCATCCCCTCAGAAGTTCATAAGATCCTATCTGGCTCCATATTTCCAATATTTGATATGAGTAAATTCTTTCCACCATTCTTAAGTGTTGAAAGTTTTCAAGAGGCTCATCAAAATGTAAATACCTAAGGTGCGATATGCATCTCCCTCTGTGAGTCCACAGCCCCAATAAACTTTTTTTTCTGTAACAGATGTTGAATAAATATTGAAGACATAAATGTTTGAGTGGTTTATGGAAAGATACATGCTGTTAACTATTTCCTGAACAGATTAAGGGAAGGTGTGTCAGGTGGCATTAGCAAACACAATGTGGGAGTAGCCCGGCCTGATCGTCCACTAGAAAGAACAGGAACCCTTCCTGCACTGTGTGAGGGAGGTGGCAATTAAAAGGAAGGAGGTCTTTCTCCCTTTTCCTCATTGCATGTCTGAAAGTAAGCTGGGTCAACAGCAGTTCTACTGGAGTCACCCACAAAAATTTGGCCAGGGTTCTCATTTGTTGTTGCATCTGCTCAAACTGGCACAGACTAATCCAGAAATAATGGTTCAACACATGCTGACCATGTTTCTGTCAGTACACAAAGCACGTCAACTTCATTAAGCTGGACTAAGTGACCTTCCTTGAATGAATTATCCAAGATCATGTCCGCCCAATGGAAGACATAAAATAAAAAATTCTAAGATGTTTAAAAAAAAGGGAAGAAGGACTCAGACCCTCAAGGCCAAGTGGATCTTGAACGAAAGAATTCGGAAGAAAATTTCTGAGCTAGAGAGCCCTACTAAAATAGTGAGCATTCAGAACAAAGCTCAAAGAGCACAGTGACAGCTATGTCCATGGGTAGCTGAAACTAGTGAGACAGAGTACGGCCTGTCCAGAGCCCGAAGGAAGATCCAAAGCAGACACAGAGACGAGTAGACTCTCAGGGGGCCATGCCCTTTTGGTCCCTAAAGAGCAGTGCCCAAGGTGCAGTCCAGGGACATTAAGAAAGGATGCAGTGGCACACACTAGCCACTGGGCTCCTTTCCCATCTCTGCCCAGAATCTGCCAGTGTTTGGGACAAGTCACTCTACCTGTCTGGCCTCAAAACCACATTCACATACATGCTTCAGCTCGAGAGAAGTTTAAGCTTATCCAGATTTCTTGCCATTACCTGAAACCCTGCAGGACTCATGAGGAATCCCCAAAGACAGCCTCCCCAGTCCACCCAGACTTGGTATTGAAGTCACCAACTCTTCCTCCATCTCAGTTCCTACATGTCAGTCACTAAGTCCCATCACACTTTCTTAAAGACCCTAAAACCCTCACACTCATAACCAACTCAAGTGCTTATAAAACACAAGTTCCAGGCCTCCCCCTACATCCACATTGTGGGTTTGGGGGGCTATTTTGCAGGCTGGGGATGTAACCCAGTTAGTCACATGATAACCACTGAGACACATTGCCAGGCCCCAGATGCTGTTTAACAAGCACCTGTGCCATAGTGGCCCAAGACCCCACTGCCCACTGGACTTGTCCTTGGGGCCCTGCACAGCTGTCCCTCATCTTCCTCTCCCACACTCCCTCATACTGTAAATCTCTAGTGGCAGCATTTCCTTAGACACTTTGCCTCTAATCTTCCCCCATAATTTGTCCTATACTTGGCTGTGACATTCAACTGTTCAATAATAAAATTAATGATAGCTATGTTTATTGAGTGCTTGCAAACACAGCAGGCATTGTGGCAGAACTTTAACGTAATGTCACTTAATTCTTCTAATGCCCCTGGGAAGATCAGCACTGTTCTTATTTTCAGGATGAGAAAACTAAGACAGAAAAATCAAGTAAATTGCCCAAGGTCACCTAAGTGGCAGAGTGGAGAATGAGGCCCATCCAGGCAAGGGAAACCACACTGCGCCTAAGGCCAGCTGCCTCAGATGCTCCAGTGGCCACCTGGCACCAAGCACTGTCAGGTTTTACTGCAGACTCCTTCCTCTTCAGGAACAAGGACCAGCCAGATCTGACCACACTCTCCTCCTCTTACCACTGCTCGTGCACCCTGTGTGGAATGTCTTCTCTACTCCTTGATTATTTTCAAGCCCTCCTTTAGGGTCAGCCCGAACCCCTCCTCTTGAAGATGGTGGACTAGAAGCTTCCTCCATGTGACTCCATGAACTAGAAGAGTCAGGGTAACAAAGGACAGACTACTGCAAAGACAAAGAGAGGAAGAGAATCTGGAATCACGAAAGAGGCAAAAGGACTGCTGAAAAGTCATGGAAAAAAGTAGGAAAGGCCATGGAGAGAAAAGTAGGAAAGTGCCCACAGCACCACCCCAGACTGGGGAGTGAAGGCGGGGGAGGAAGCCACAGCCACAAGGTAAGCCAGGCAGCCCTAGCAACAGGACAGGCTGACAAGTCTTAAATCCAGTATGGGGATTTGGTACAACAGTGACTCCTCCTGCATGACAGGCTGGCATTGGGGAAGACATCCATTTTGCTGCTCCCCGTACCTCAGAGAGCTGGGTGCCATCATGAGAGGGGGCCTGAGGCTGAATTACTCTGAGGACCTGAAAACAAGAACAATTGAGCCCTCTTCCTCCACGATGCTTTCCACACCATCCCCCGCCCTGTGCATTTCCCCATCCTCTCAACCTCAGACATTTCCTACATTCCCTCACCACTACCATCACTCCTCTGAAGATAATGTCTCTCCAACCAGATTACAAAGTCCTACAGGTCAGAGAAATGGTGTATACACCTGTGTGCTCCCAGATGTACCATCGTGCCTCTATCTATTAAGTACTTAGTAACTGCTGGAACTGCATTAGATTTTATCAAGGTTTTACTTGTTTCTTGTTTTCAAAAGGCAAAGGGCAATGTAGAAAAACTCTCCAAGCACCCCAACCACTGACCTACCCAGTACATGGGCACTCACAGTCATCTCCCAGTACCTTCTGAGGAGATCTCAACCTTCACTCCTCGCCCTAATGTAGCAGCAGAAACAAGTCAAGATTCAAAAGGCATTAAAGACACTTCTGGCAGGTGGCAAAATAAGAAATAAGAGCACTAGAGGTGCTGGGGGTGGGGGTGGGGGGGTCCAGGCCGCTAAGGCAGAGGTCCCTGAGGGCTCTGAGGGCCACTGCAGTCTTAGGCACCACTGCCAAGGAGGAGTGCCAGGCCACATTTCCGTTAGTCTGGCTGACTGTGGCAATCCTTCCTCAGGAAAGTACTCACAACGCACCACGAAGTCTTCTGCATGCTGCCACCTGCACTTACCTGAACACATCATTCCAATACTCCTTCACATAGGACACCTGATGGAAAGGGATGTCTAAGATTTGGCAAACTTTATAAGCATCTTCGCAGTCTTTGTCAGCAGTGCAAACGCCATGTTCATCCAGTGAGTCCCAATTCTTCATAAATATCCCTGTCACCTGGTAACCTAGGAGAGGATGAAGGTGAATTAGAGTAACTCAAGCAACCTTTGGTAAAAAAGAAAAGCAGGGATTTCTGTGCTCCAAACAGTCCCCAACATGCTATGTCCCAGTACCCCCACACGCTCCTCCCCTAGGCTCACCCTGAACTTTTGTAAAGGCAAATCATAACCACACATGGGCTGAAATTGTGTGCCTCAGTCCCCAAAGTAAGCAACATGGCATTTTTTTCATCTTCGTGTCCCCACCCATGTACCAGTGCAACCCTGGCACATAGGACTTAACAAATGTGCACCAAACGAGTGAAAGATCAGCAGAAAATCTAATTTTTCAATGCAAATGCAAAAACCAACAGTTATCAAAAAAGTTAACAGATTTCAAAAGCTATTTTCAGTTACTAATACTTAGAATTAAGTTATCAGATATGAAGACAATTAAAATTTTGTATATTTTATTTGCCTGAGGGTGTAGCTCAGTGCCATAGCTCATGCTTAGCTGGGCAAAGCCCTGAGCTCAATCCCCAGCACCAAAGAGAAAATTTAAAAATGGAATATTTCATAAGGATTCTGCCACCTACATATTTTATGATCCATGTAACTCCTTTTCTATTGCAACAAAGCATCCAACGTTGGGTACTTTTTACAAAGGCCTACACTATCTTAGCAAACTACAGGTACCTACCCTGCATGTGAGCCCTGTTTCTTCCGGGTACACTGAACAGGGCATTTGTCAGCTAAGGGAGACTTAAAATATTGCTCCCGCCCCAAACAGGGATTTGCTGACAAACCTTTACCAAATTAAAAATGCAACATTCATAAGGCCACACCCATCCTACAGATCAGGCCCTCACTCCTGGGTCTGGAAGCATTTAACTCTGCTTTTATTCCAAAACTTACCACACTAGGCTCAGTTGTTCAGCCAGTCTCCCCCGTTCCTTAGTAGAGCAGGAAGCGCCTCAAGGGCAGAGACTGTCTTAATTCAACCCCATGTCCCTAGCACCTATAGGGAAGTCTCCAGCGCATAAGAAGAGATTAAAAAAGAGCTTATAGCTGGGCACCAATGGCTCACACCTGTAACTCTAGCTGCTCAGGGGGCAGGGATCAAGAAGATTGCGGTTCAAAGCCAGACCAGGCAAATAGTTTGCAAGACCCTATCTCAAAAAACCCTTCACAATAAAGACCTGGTAGAGTGGCTCAAGATGCAAGCCCTGAGATCCAGCCCCAGTACCACCAAAAAAAAAAAAAAGCTTATAGCTGGGCACTAGTGGTTCACACCTGTTAATACTAGCTACTTTGAAATAATGAGGGTTGTGGTTTGAGGCCAGCCCCAGGCAAACAGTTGTGAGACCCCATCTCCAAAATAACCAAAGCAAAATGGTCTGGGGCGGGGGCGGCGCTCAAGTGGTAGAGTGCCTGCTTTGCAAGCAAGAAGCCCTGAGTTCAAAGCCCAATCCCACACTTCCACCAAAAAAAAAAAAAAAAAAAAAAAAAAAGAGCTTATAGAATGAATAAACTCTACACACAGAAGTTAAAAACACCACTCTTCCCATACCATCTGCCACATCATTTTTCTCGTGAAGGCATGTGACCCACTGCGGGTTACAGGTTTTGACCCTCTAGGATAGATACTCAACTTCCCGAGCTGGGGCGGGGGGTCACAACAGAACACCATCTCCAGCGAGAGCCCTCAGTGCCAAAATGAGAGGACCACACCTTTTCTCTGCTGTGTCCATCAGCTCCATCCATGGAGAAAATCCAAGGAAAGCTGGAACATGAAGCTGCGGTGTGGAGGGAGAGGGGCTACCTTTTTGAAGTAGTAAAATGATGACTCTGATGAACGTGGGTATTCTACTGTATCTTCCAAAACACCTAGTCACAGCCCTCATCCAAAACCTTCCACAGCTCTGAACTGTCTACCCAACATTACCTTAATATTAACCCTCTCCACCCTGCCCTGGCCAGGCCCAGCCAGCACTCTGCATCCTGCCTGTGCTGCTGACTCTGCCTCAGGCCTCCAGCTCGCTTGGCCCAGCGAAATCCTACTCTTCTTTAATCTCAGCTCAAACAGCTCCAACCTCCAGGACCGCTGGTCTTGATTCTCCCTTTTTCTCTAAAGTACCTGTGCCTATAGTTTGCTGATCCTTGGGCACGTTCAGTACACCTCTGCTAACAGCTGTGGCTGTTGGTAAGATACACTCGTAAGCACTACTGTTTTCTGAGTACCTCATACATGCTACAAGGACAGACCATCTGATACTATTATGTATTGAATCCTTCCAGTCACCCTGTGAGAGAAATGTCATCCCGTTGTAGAGATGGGCTTGGTTAACCTGCTCAAGTTTAGGAACCTTGCCTGCACCTCCGCATCCAAGTGCACGGAAGGTGGCTCCAGACAGAGGTTCCACGAACACGTTCACGTGAATGCGGCCTTGCGAGGAGAAGGGGCCGCAAGGATGGATGGGACGGCAGCCAGTTAACAACCGCTCCAGACCCCAGAGGCCTGTGGGGCTCCGTTTAGACGCCGGGAAGAAATGCAAGCAGTCTGGGGAGTCCACCTTGCCATCCAGCGATGGGAGAACACAGGAGAGACTTGCTAAGAGGTATTTGGCCTTCTCACGAGTGGGGAGACAGGGACCCCCACGGAGCGTCGGCCGCGTCCGCAGAGGTCAGGCCTCAGATGAACCCAGATGCGGTAGCCCAGACCAGAACACGGACGCCGCTACCTCCTCCCCTCCTGACCCACGCTGCGCACTTCCGACCACCCGGGGAGCCATGACCGAGGCGCATGGACCTGGGTCCCCTGCGTCCCCTCGCGCACACTAAGCCGGGAGAGGGAGGCGACCTGACCAAGGCGTGCGAGGCGGAAGAACTTCCCCGTTCGCCTCACCTCTCCGCCTCAGCAGCAGTGCGGCAACAGCACTGTCCACGCCGCCGGACAGGGCGCACACGACGTGCCGCGTCGCCAGCATCTGCTAACAGTTTAACCTCCACGGGCCACCCCGGGCAGCTTTCGCGCAAAGCCGGAAGTCCCGCCCCTTCCGTGGCTTTCGCGCTCACGGTCCGGCTAGAAGCGCTCCCCGCTCCCGGCGTTCCGCACTACCACCCGGTCCTGAGTAGGCCAGCTCTGCTCCCCGCTGGGTTCAGTAGCGCGCACTAGAACAGGCAGGGATGCTGGGTACCGGGCGGCATCAGGCTGTTCATGGTGAAGGGAGGGAGGGACAGAGGGACAGAGCCATCCCCCAGAGGTGCATTCTCCCCCAATTCTAGACAGTAGTCGTCGGGTGAGCGCGTTAGAAAAGGAGAGCAGGCGGCAGGTCCACCTGTACAAAGTCCTGGGCCGCTGAGGGCAGGTCCCCGCGGGAGCCATGGGAAGCCAATGGAGGTGTGAGGCAGAGGTCGGAAGTGATCGGCTTAAAGTCAGTTAAAAGAGTTTTCTGGCAGACCTATGGAGAACGCATTGGAGGAGGGGCCGGGAGCCTGGTTAGGAGGCGCTGACAGCGACCTAGGAAAGGTGGAGCACCGAGCTGGCAGGCATTTGGAGTAGAACCTGTGGCCTTTGCAGTGGAGATGGGATGAGAGAGGACCTTTTTTGGACTTGGTGTTCCGGAGTCAGATCAATGGGCGGGGTGCTTTGGGACGTCAGGCTGCTGCTGTGGCAGTTCCTGAATGAAGAGTCAGGAGCCTGGCACATGACAGATGGCAGATGGAGGCATGTGAGTGGCGACTAGAAGTTGGACATGTGTGCTGGGGCTAGAAGAATGTAAGAAGGCCCCAGGCCCACCCCTCCACCCCAGAAAAAATGTGAGAAGAGATGAGGTCCAGATAGGAGACCAGGACAGGTGGGCAGGCTAGAGGTCCAGTGGCTGAGCAGAGGACAGGCTAGGCAAGGGGGTAAGGAGGCATGTAAGCGTGGGGCGCCCTAGCCAAGGATGACAGTACTTAGACCCGCAGTGGTACGGCACTCAGAAGACTGAGTTTTTGTTTGAAATCAGAGGCTACAGCCTGCCCATACAAAGTACAGGCATTCTTTAAATTGGTACTTCAGCCCACACTATCACATTTTACATAGCAGCCCAGAACACAGGGCCATCTACACAGACACATATAAGCATAAAGAACACTTCTCAAATGTGCCAGCTAGTCTTATGTTTTTATTTTTCATTTTTTAAAATTGCTCATATATACCACTCTTGTGGATATACCCAAAAGACTGTGACACAAGTTACTCCAGAGGCACCTGCACACCCATGTTTATTGCGGCACTATTCACAACAGCCAAGTTATGGAAACAGCCAAGATGCCCCAGCACTGACGAATGGATTAAGAAAATGTGGTATCTATACACAATGGAATTTTATGCAGCCATGAAGAAGGAAGCAATGTTATCATTCGCTGGTAAATGGATGGAATTGGAGAACATCATTCTGAGTGAGGTTAGCCTGGCCCAAAAGACCAAAAATCGTATGTTCTCCCTCATATGTGGACATTAGATCAAGGGCAAACACAACAATGGGATTGGACTTTGAGCACATGGTAAAGCGAGAGCACACAAGGGAGGGGTGAGGATAGGTAAGACACCTCTAAAACTAGATAGTATTTGTTGCCTTCAACGCAGAGAAACTAAAGCAGATACTTTAAAGCAACTGAGGCCAATAGGAGAAGGGGACCAGGAACTAGAGAAAAGGTTAGATCAAAAAGAATTAACCTAGAAGGTAACACACACGCACAGGAAATTAATGTGAGTCAACTCCCTGTATAGCTATCCTTATCTCAACCAGCAAAACCCTTGTTCCTTCCTATTATTGCTTTACTCTCTCTACAACAAAATTAGAAATAAGGGCAAAATAGTTTCTGCTGGGTATTGAGGGGGTGGGGGGGAGAGGGAGGGGGCGGAGTGGGTGGTAAGGGAGGGGGTGGGGGCAGGGGGGAGAAATGGCCCAAGCCTTGTATGCTCATATGAATAATAAAATAATAATAAAAAAAAGAAAAGTAGGGAGTCAAAGATCAAAAAATAAATAAATAAAATAAAATAAAATTGCTCACATAACCCACTAAATTGATTCTATGTAGGATTTGAACCATGATCTGAAAAATGGAGGAAGTGCCAGTACAAATGCAGGTGGTTCTAAAACAGGCCAATACCTCAAACACACCAAAGGTTGGCAATAAAATCATTAAAAAAAAAAAGTAAACAATGGACATAAGTGTTTAAATGTGAATTGTCGCAAGAGCTGATTGTTTTCCTGAGAACAGGAAGTTTTAGGGCCTGGAGTAAATGAGGGAGGCTCTTGAAGTCCCCATTTCCAACAAGAGGAGCAGCAATTGCCAACTGGAGAGCCACAGCCACTGTACCAAGGATTTACAGGTCAAGATGCAAGATAGGAGGAAAGGGGGTACCAGGGCCCCATGGAGAACAAAAGGATGACCACTTTTCAGAGGAAAATGGGAGATGCCCATCAGGGCAGCAGTTTCATCTGTACTTCCCAGAGATAAGGGAAGACATGATCTCCACACCTGACCTGGAGCAGATTGAGGGGCACACGTTTAGGCTGTCCGAGGCTGGGCTGTCATTAGTTTTTAGTCTAGAGGACTAGGCCCTTCCTTCTTGGGTGTGGGAGTTTATTATTGCCTGCCCAGGGCAATAGGGCTTAGGTTCCAGTGTGCTGGAACCAATTCACAAAGTGGAAAAAACACACTTTTGCAACTTATTTGCCTTTTCAGTTAAATACATAGTATTTTAGCTACTTTGCAGCTCCAGAGTCCAGTGTGTGTAATCCATCATGGGCCAGCTGTGTCAAAGGTAAGAACATCCCAAATGCCTCCTGCCAACAGTGAGGATGGAAGTAATGTGGACTTCACAGATGGAAAATGTGAGACATTTGCCCCACAAAGTTTGTGAAATATGGTAAGAATCACAGGAAGGTGAACCTCTGAAATCTGGGAGGGTGACACTTCAGTGACAGCCAGGGTACTTCATGCCATTCTAAGAAGAAAATGGCCAGCCCCTCATCCCATGAGCATCAGAAGCACATTAGTCCTAGCTGCTATCACTACTGTGACCCTCTGGGGAGCCTGGGAGTTCAAAGAAGCAGCACTGGGGGGGAAGCTCTGCCAGACTGAGCAGCTTCAGCGTGGAGAAGAGGACCATAGCACAGGGGGCTGGGGGCCTGCTGCCCAACCAGTGCACTTAGAGAGGGCCTTCTGTCCATCAGAAGAGAACTCCAGGGTGCTGTACTCCAGGGACACCAGTAGACTGAGGAGAGTGCTGAACCTTCCAGGACAGCCGGCCACAGGAGGGAGGGGAAGGTGGCAGACAAGCTGAGCCAGGCCTCAGGCTGTGAGTGGAGACGGACGAGGCACAATGTGGTTATCGCAGGTTAGCTAAGTCCCCACCAAACATGCCCCAAGCACAGGGTTCACACAGCTTTACCCCACTGAATCCCCAGGAACATGCAGCTTCACCCATACTGGAGGCTTAAAAAATACTAAATAAATTCAATTCCAGATTTCATTTTTTTCCCCCTTGTGAAATGAGGGACCCATCGAGGATATCTAAGGACCTTTTATGGTGCACACCCGTGGATTCTAGAATTCTGCACTGCCCATTGGAGGAAGAAGTGCTACAATTCCTCTGGGTTCTCTGTTGCAGCCTGCCAGGCCCTATCTATTTTTGTTGTTGTTGTTGCGGTACTGAGGTTTGAACTCAGGGTCTACACCTTGAGCCACTCCAGTAGCCCTTTTTTTGTAATGGGATGGTTTCGAGATGGGGTCTCATAAACTGTTTGCCTAGGTTGGCTTTGAATTGTGAACCTTCTGATCTCTGCCTCCTGAGTAGCTAGGATTAGCCAGTGGTGCCCAGCTCACCAGGCCCTATCTGAAAGCCTGGCGGCTAGTAGAAGCAGAAAAACTCAGCTGAGTAACCCAACCTTTCCAGAATCCCTGCCTCTCATTTGGACGCCTTCAGCTCTAGGCCCAGCAGTGCTGGTCACAAAATCCACCTCACTCTGCCTCCTGACACCAAGGTGATCACACTCCAGATTGCAGCTTTATGGTCAGTCACCACATCAACTGCAGAGAGAGAAGTCCACCCAACAATCTCTTTCCCTCAACTGTGTACAGAGAGAAACCCTAGACTGGTGTAGGGACACAAATAAAGTCCAGCTAGTTGCTTTGTCTGCTCTGAAGCCACTGAACAAAGACAAATGTCTTTGTAGATAAGGAGACGTGTACAAATGAATGGCTTCTGGGCCACCCAGTCTTCAGAAAGTAAGAGGTTTCAAGCAGAGCACAGTGCTTTCACTTCCCACTGCTTCCAAAGGCTCCCACTGGGCACACCTCCCAGAACTGCACAGCTAGGAATCAGTCCCAACACAGAGCTCTGGAGGCCTGGCCATAGGCCCTTCACCTTTGCATCTGGGTAGGCCCTTCCTGGTCTGTATTTCTCTTTCCTTCTGGACCCCAGCTGTCCAGAGAAGCCTCTTCAGGTGCTGTCGCCACACCAGAATCGACTGGGTACAGTAACAATGCAGGTTCCCATACCTGGCCAGTCGAGGAGCTGGCGTGGGCCAGGTGCCTATATTTATACCAATTGTTATTCACACTAAATTTCAAAAATTATTCTTAAAGTCTGAAAAATACAGGTCTCCCACAGGGATTGGAGTGATGAAAATATGCACATTTGAAAATCAAGCTAGGCTTAAAAACCAAGTATGCTTTAATACACTCTTACAATTTAATTTAAATCTAGAATATTTAACTTTTCATACAAACTTAAGTTTAAATATAGGCACTATTTTACATACAAAATACTCTAGACAAAACTCTTAGAGTAGTCTATTCCAGCCCAGTAGAAAAGCAGGAATGGGGGAGCTCGGGAGTGGAGCTCTCGCGTCCATACTGTGACCACCCCAGCCCAGCCCCAGTGAGTACATTTAAACCTTTTTTTTTTTTTTTAAATCAAATACAATGTCTTCTAAAACTTGTTTCTCTGAGTCAAAATCCACTTTAGGAGTAAGTGTTCTTTCAGCAGAGTAAACAGCAGAAGGTTGTACTCTGCTCAGAACTTGAGAAGTGGTGAGTCCATGTTTTCTTTGTCAGCTTCAGGGCTCAGCTGGATAAGAGGAGAACCCAGGTCAATCAGCTGGAAGAAAGCAGAGGTGACAAGGTAAACACAGCTAGCTGCCTTGTGCCACCATCTATGGCTCCTAATGGGAGCCTGAGGCAACCTGTGAGCCAGAGCCCCCTGAGGCTCAGCACCAGAGAAACAACTTGGCAGCCCAGGTCAGGGGCATTTAAAGGAAACTTTGACCATCGCATCTAAGGCATGGGAGAGGCCTCAAACCCTCAAACACTGTGGATGCAGGGGACGTGGAGGTACAGATGCAGCCCCTGACCTCCACAAACTCATCCTGGCCTGGCAGGATCCCTTAAGGGGTGGCAGTGGGTGACCTCTAAGAGGCCAAGGCTACCAAAGGTGGATCTTGCACGGTGACATGAACCCTTTGGAGCCTCCAGGGCCACTGTGATGAACCCAGGACTGAGAACACCCCGGACTGAAGTTAGCATGAATTACCTGTCGCTGCTCAGCTTGCAGAGGCTTCACCCCATTGTTTCTGTCCACGTCTGGAGTGTTCGTCATGAGGTCGATCAGGGGCCTGCTGTCAGATCCCAAAGCCATATATGCCTCAGGCGTGCTGCAGAAGTCGATGAGAGGGAGGTCGGCTTGGGGTCTGCCTTCCACTTCAGGAGCGATGGTAGCTGATCCAGCCCGATGTCTACAAGGAGAGCCTAAACAGGGACATAGATGGAGGAGGGGTCCAGCACCTTTGTCAACTGTCTTGGGAAAAATCATACGCTCTACTTATGGCCTTGGGGGCTCAGAAAGAGGCTGGGGAAGGCCCTCAGTGGAGGGAAGCTACCCTCTGGACAGCACACCCTGTACCCACAGCTAGCATGGAGCAGCTGCCCTGATCCCACTTCCTGCCCTTTGACCTTGACCAACTTCTTGGCCAAACACTTCTACGGCCCAGAGTCCTGATGCCCTCCCCTTGGGTCTACTGGGAACTGGAGCTGCCCTAGGGTCACTACACAACCTCCAGGACTGCCTGTGACCCTCCACACACCTCACCAGGATGCAAGTCTTTACATGGCCTTGCTTCATCCTGAGTAGCAAAGGTAGCAGGCCCTTCTGAAGGAGGAAAATCACTTTTCTCTGGAGAAAAGCAAAGAGCTTGGGGCACTGAGGATGGAGAAGAGCTCACATCGGCGGACAGGCCCAGGCCCACTTGTGCACAGCTGGCCCTCCTGCTGCTCTCCTGTGCTGGCTCAGTTCTGTGGAGGCAAAAAAGGAAAATCTTACAAGAAGACATCTCTAAAATGCTGCTAACTGGGCTGTAATCAGGGCACAGAGCATTTCTGGAAGCATTTCCCATGGTAGACAGCTCCAGCCTCAGTGCTAGCACATCCAAAAAAAAAAAAAAACAGCCTAACTGTGAGCACAACCTCCCCTTTTCAGTTCTCAGTTTCCTCTGTGTAAAAGGAGGACCAAATCATTTCCAAGGTTCCTTTCAGCACAGATTGCATCAACCTGGTTTTTTGCATCTTTCATGACAGTGACCATGGCACAGGCCAGGCTAATCTGTTGCCAGACCCCTGAACCCCTGTAGACCTGAAACTAGGTTACTTGGGAAAACACAGGAAATGGCAGTGTCCGTAAACACTTTTTTTATATTTTACAGGAAAAAAGTAGAGCATTTTCATATTTACACTTGTGAACATACAACACACTTAAAACACATGCCTGTAACCATTTATATGATGGGTCTTGTACGTTTTCTTTTTCTTTTTTGGTGGGACAGGAGTTTGAACTCAGGGCTTCGTGCTTGCAACGCAGGCACTCTACCACTTGAGCAACACCTCCAGTCTCCAGGTCTTGTACTTTTAGTGTGGCCTTTTTTCTTACTTCATCCTGGCTGCTTCCTGGCAGGCCTATACACTCCCCAGCACAAGGGCCTCTTGAACCCTAGGGAACATGAGCTACTTCCTGCAACCCTTGTCTTTTACCTCACTGCAGATCTCTTCCGGGGCTCAGAAGAAAGTCGCCGAGAACGTCCACATAGAGGTGAAGCCAGAGCCCTGGGCACAGATTGAGGTGTCATCAGTGGGAGGCCAGAGAGGTACCGGCTGGCTGGGGTGGGCAACGCTGACATTCGTCTTGAATTCATGGGGGTCCTCATGCTGCCTGAGAGGATTTGTGAAGCTGGGCCAGATGACCGTCTTATAGGAGTGCTATGAACAACGACCCTAGCAAAAACAACATCAACGTCTTGAGCAGAGATGACCTGAACAAAATGAAGTCTAAATGGTCAGCTGACATGCTAATACAGCACTAAGTCCATGGTTTCAACAGAGGAGTGAAGCCAGGAAGGCTGGGGACTTGTCCCTGAGAAGGAAGGCTCAATGCGGGCAGGACTTGGGCTGCTGCCAGCCCACCATAAGACCCTGGCCTGAGCTGCAGGTTCCTCGGTGGGCAGTGCCTATCCTCTGCCTCACAGGTAATTTAAGACAGCCTCGTTAGGTGTGCCCACACTTCACAGATAGCATCATCTGCGGGAGGCTCAGGAGGAACCTTAGAGGTCTTTTAATGGCATCATGAACATCTCCATAAGGAAGTTCAGACTCCCTTCAGACTCTGGCTGGGCGATGAATGGACAGGCAGGCCACTCCATGCACACATTTTGTCCCCACATATGAAGGCCCTGATTGATGGTGAGCACAGCAAGTGGTGGCAGGGAATTGGTTCTCACTCATCCCATGTGCCTGGCAGCACCTGTGGCTCTGACTACCAGTAAGTCTGGCCTAACGTTGGCTGGTTTTGCGGTGGCAGAACCTTTGTCTAGTAGGAGTTCAAAACCTAGTACTGCCAGAAAAAAAAAGAGAAGCCAAGTCAAGTTAATTGTCACCAACTATGGACTAAATTTTTGTGTCCACACATTTGCAATGTTGAAGCCTCATGTCCTAAGGTGATGGTGCTAGGAGGGGGTCTTTAGGAGGTGACTAATCCCTTGTGAGTGCCTTTATGAAGGAGGCTCCAGAGACCATGGCCACCCTTTTACTACATGAGGACGCAGTGGGAAGGTGCTGTCTATGAACCAAGACAGGTCCTCACCAGATGCTGGATTTACTGAATTTACTGATGCACTGGTCTTGGACTTCCAGCCTCCAGAAATTTAAACAAATTTCTATTGTTTAAACCCCTAGAAAGCTGGACCGCTAACACACACCTATAATCCTAACTACTCAGGAGGTAGAGATCAGAAGGATCTCGTTTCAAAGCCAGCTCCAGGCAAATAGTTTATGAGACCCTATGTCTAAAAATACCCAACACAAAACAGGGCTGGTGGAGTGGCTCAAGTGGCACAGCACCTACCTAGCAAGCGTGAGGCCTGGAGTTCAAACCCCAGTGCCACAAGAAAAGTTTGGAAGTGCAAAGCCCTGAGTTCAAACGCCAATACCACCACCAAAACAAACAAAAAACTAAAACAGAGTCTAGACACAAACTTTAACATTAACTGAAGGACAGGTTCCCTGCAAGAAGCACAGGCAGACAACAAAGATGAGAACAAACGTGACCCTTAACAGAACCCCAGGTAGCAGAGCCATTCTCTCATCTCCACGTAAGGAAACCAAAGCACAGAGAGGTATAATGTAGCAAGTGGCTGCCTGGCTCTGGAGTTTGCTCTTCAGATACATGTATAGGAGGAAAGCACCTCAGCATGCAACTGCTGTGAAGGAAATTGTCTGCTCTGACCCAATGAAGTACACCCCAAGATCACATCAGAGGCCAGAATGCCCAGAGTCACCAAAGGATTCACTGATAGCCCCAGGCTGGCCAATAGCAGAGCCAGGAGTACCTCTCTCTGGTGTCCTAGCCCAGGTCTTATTCTGCTTAGCCCAGCCAAGCAAAGTCCAGAGCAATGACTGGCCCTGACAACATGCTGGTACCAGGACCCAACCTGCAGATGCAAATACATCTGCAGGGAGGGTCTCAGTCCCTCCCTGCCCCACCACACTCCAGGCAGGAGATTCTGAGGTACGGACAAGGCTAAGAAGCACTGAAATGAGGTCTCCAAGTACACAGGGCTGTGCTGGCACCTGACTTCAGTAAGTGCCAGTAAAGGATGCAAAAAGGGGGATGACTGGGGCCAGTGCCACCATGTGAGGACCTCATCTTGGCCTGACGGCCCCTCCAGCCTGGGATGGGAATCACTGCATCATTCTACTCTGAACCCTTGGTGACCAACCACCCATGAGTTCCCAGAGAGACAAAGGGGCTCACACCCTGCCGGAGCCCCCACACCATGGGAAGCTGGACAGTCATCCTAGATCATCCTTCAGTCACCAGAAGACGACCAGGGTCAGTTACCTGCCAGCCGCCCACGACTGCAGCCGTTGTGCACGGAAGGACTTTGGTGTTAAACTGTCTGGGGATTCACCTGAGATGGAGAAAAGAGCACAATCAGCAACACGAAGATCAAGTGGAATGCGTATCACATGGGAATCTCCACCAGCGAGGCAATTCTCCTCTAAATGACTCCACCTTCCCAATGTGCAGTGTGGGAGGCACCACCACATACAGGCTGAAGGTCAGAATAGCCACTCAGGGGCACCCACCAGTGACAGGGACAGCAGCCAAGGTGAGGGCTTTGGGCAATGATGCAGAGGAGAAAAGAGCTTCTTTCTTCTCCCTCACCCTAGCTCCTAACCTCTCCCAGACCTGGGCCTGTGTGTACAGCAGGCTTGTTCAGCATTATCTCTGCCTGGCGCATGGTGCTAGGAATGTCTGTCCTCATGGAAATGATACTGTGACATGAGTGGAGTCCCAGGCAAGCCTGACTGAGCCAAGAGTTTAATAGCACATCAATCATGCACTGATTTACAATAAAAAACATCTCCCTGTGTTCACCTCCATCTGGTATTGGAAAAGTGGTGAGCAGCAGGCCAGAGGGCACCAGGGCTCAGCAGCCACAGTGCACAGGCCAGTGCATGCCCCAGACATCCCGCCACACCACTCTTCCCCCAGTAAACAGGTTCAAAGCTGGTCCCCGATGAGATGAATAATCGGCAATGTGCACCCAGGGGCCCCAAAGCCCCAAGCCCCCATGCCAAAAAGCAAGGAAGCCATCAGCGTGGTCCCAACCCAACCACTGACAGTTCCCTTCTCAGCAGGCCTGGTAAGGTCCAAGACACTGCTCCTGCAGGTGTCCTCTCCCTGGCCACACCAGCTGCCCCACTGAGCCCTCCTCCCTTCATCAGAGCCACTCCGGCCTCCTTCCCCAGCAGGCACCTCTTCAAAGTCATATCCCAGGGCAAGTCTGTACCGCCCCTCCATCTCCTCCCTAAACTTTAAAAACTGCTTCTGTCAAGACGAGTCACAGATTTACAGAATGAAGTTCTCTAGGCCCAGGAGATGAGAATCCTGCTCCCGCAAGCCCCACCTTTGTGGCCCAGGTGGCCTCAGCATCACGCTAGGCCTGCAAATGCCCTTAGTCAGGCTACAGGGTGCCTCCACCTACTCCTACCCTCCTCTTTGTTTCCTTTATTTTCCTTTTGTGTGTGTGGGTGGGGGGGGTGTCCTGTGACTAAATTGTCCCCTAACAGCTACCTGGAGTCATTCTCCATGTGGGGACACCCCTCAGGCCACCAACCCCATGGAGTCCATGGAGGTCTCTTTCTGAACTCTGGTGACTTCTCCTGGCTGACTGCTGAGCCAGGCTTCTTTGCTCATCTCCCTTCCTCTGTAGTCCCCACTCACCTCAGTGAGCACACTCACTGCAGGCTAAGTGGGGGAAAGTATCCCTGTGGGCTCTCACATGGAGGATACAGCTCTCCATTCCTCCCAGTGGACCAGGGCTTGTCTGAGCATGGAACCATGACTGACAATGGCTTCCTTCTGCGGGTAGATGGTGGCATTCCACATGGCTTTCAATACCACAGAGGCCAAGGCCAGGGTCACTCTAACTTTCCATCCCCGAATGACTCTGGAAGCACCAATTCACACAAGTAACTCTGTGTACTCCTGGACCCCTTTACAAACAATCCCATTTTCCGCTGGTGTACGTTTTAAGGAAGCACCTATGTGAAAGGTTCCATCACAGGCTCTGTCCACTTTGTGCCCATGCTCGAGGGCTCCAGCCTTTCTCAACTCTCTGTCACAGCCCCCAAGCAGTTGTGCAGTGCACAACTACAGGTGACTGCAGTCAAGCAGCCACAGGCTGTGCACATCCTAACTGCATGGCCAGTCCTGTGGCCTCTCAGCCAGTGCTGGGTTTGTGCAGACAGTGTAGTCCCTAACAAATGACAGGTATGTAAGAGCCGCAGTCAGAAAGGAATAGCTGCCTGCTGAAGTAAGATGCAGGTTTTGGAGGACCACCAAAGCCACATAGCAGTGAAAACCAACAAAAAGCCAGGGATTGGCAGAACTCTGTGGTACCAAGCAGCTGGCAGCCAGTAGGACAACTAACGTTGTGACTATAGTTTGAGTGCATGGCCTGAGGGCAAGGCACAGCCCCCAGCACTTGGAGAGATGAAAGACAAACACCTGAACACGCACCTGCCTGAACTGCCCAGATGAGCCCAACCCTCTGAGCTTCTGCTCTACACACAGCTCAGCTACCTTCTCAATTCCACCTCCAGCTGTGGTTCCACTGACCTCTGGCTCCTCCCCTGCACCAGGCATATGCAGAATGGTTCTTTCCCCACTGCCCTCCCATCTTCCCACTGCAGTGAGTGGCAACTCCTGGGGCACCAGACCACAAAGCCACTCAGGTTCCCTTTCCACACTCCTGATCCCCCAGAGGCACAGGCAGCTGGGACCTCGTCCCTCCCCTCCAACTGCTGCACCTCATGTCTCTGCAGATCAGTATAAGGAAAGGACCCCACACACCAAACTGCCAGGACCACAGTCTTGCATGGAAGCCATGGTAGCCACAGACAAAAGTGACTTCCTCGAGGAGCCCCGCCCCTCTGCTCAACCTCAGACTGTGCCACCCTCCTCAGGGCTGCCTTTCAGAATCGCACTTTGCCTCAGCCTCTCTGAATGCACTGTTTACCTCAGCATGCGTGTCTCCATTGCAGTGTACTGTTATCCCCAAACACATGTCATGATTCCCTGGAGACTCTCCCATTGCTATGTAGGCTGACATAGCTGGTGTCCAGAGTGGGACCTAAAACAAGGCCAACTTTGAAAAGACCAGCGGCTCCTGGTGCCGACACAGAACCCTTTGTGCTCTGCTCCCTGTTTCTGTCCTCCTGGGTCACCTCCCAGGTCTAGGCTTCTCTTTTTGGTGGCAGTTCCCTACTGACTTCATCTGGATCTGGTTGGGATGAGGCTGCCTTCAATAAGGGCCCCTGGGGGCTGGAGGTGTGGCTCAAGTGGTAGAGCACCTACCTAGCAAGTGTAAGGCCCTGAGTTCAAACCCCAGTACCACCAAAAAAAAAAAAAAAAAAAAAAGTGAAAAATAAGGGAGCCTGATCCTTTAGGGGACAGTAACAGACTTCAGTCTTTTCTGGAAGCCCTCCCTGGTATAAGGACCCTGTCAAAGTGAGGACTCCGATTTCCACAGACCTGACACTCTGAGAGGACTTCCTGTTTCTTGTGGTGAATTCTCTTTTGGTTCTCTGTGCCTTGCTCAATGTTATTTGCTCGGCAGGCCTAACTTAGAACTTCTTGCAAGAACCTTTATTTTGGTTTCATTTTGATTTGACTACATGTGTCTACAAGTGATTTGACTATTGTACTTTTTTTATTTTCAGCTAGCACTGGGGCTTGAACTCAGGGCCTCACACTTGCTAGGCAGGTGCTCTTACTGCCTGAGCCACTCTGCCAGCAGTACTTTTTTTTTTTTTTTTTTTTTCTGAGACAGGGTCTCACTACATAGCCCAGGCTCACCTGGAACTCATGATCTTCCTATCAGCTTCTCGAGTGCTGGAATTATAGGTGTGCACCACCACACCTGGATTATTTCCCTCCCTACTTGTTTCTGAAAATCTTCTGGAAGCAAAAATAAAACATTCCGTGTGGTGGACCCAGTAGAGCAGATGCCACCATGTATGAGAAATTCTCACCTTGGAAGACAGCCTCCTGCACAAAGACAGCCTGGCCATGGACAGGCAAGCTTACCATAGGGCACCTGCCAGGCACAGGCAGTCCATGCCACCAGAGAAACCTCAGTCACAGGTGAGACAAACTAGGGCAAAGGCCATCTGACAAATGTGCCAGGTACACCTGTCAAATCAAAACATCTCCCAAAGCATTATTGTCCTTTGACAGCACTTAGGGGATTTCTTTGCTCTCTGGAGACTGAAAGAAATAAAGTGGGATTAATTCTAAAGCTTGCAAAGAAAGTCGCCCTTTGGGGATCCCAGCCAGTTCTGCTGTGGCCCACTGCTTTCTTTCCCCCCTTTTTTTAAATCCATGAGAAAGGATAATTCTTAAAGTATACTTATAGGTAAGGGCTTTTTACCTGTTTTTATATTTTTTCTTTGCCTATTGAATCTGCTGACTTTTTTGCTTGTATTAAGATGAAGACAAACTGAAATAAAAACAGGGCAGAGACTGCTTACAAATTTTTCTTAGGACATTTCAGTCAAGATAGGAAAAGAAAAATAATAAAACCTTTCAAATTAGTGGTTTTATAACTCACAGAAGCTCTATGGCAGCCTACTCACCTGAGTCAGCCCTGGTAGAAATGAAAATTTAGGGATGGCCAGTCAATGGTGGCTTACAAGACCATTCTGCCTTTTTAAACCACCCTAATGCCTCAGCCAAAATCTTGAGCCCAGGGCAAAAATAAAAGATCTCTCTGTCTGGCATAAAAATTGCTTTGTCTGCCACACAGCCAGACAACAGCCAGGAAAAAGAAAAACTGCAAACAGTATTTTAAAACCTGCTTAAAAATTAATCAAGTGAACCATACTGGTAAACAAAATTCTGTCATTAATTCCAGATCACGTGGAGGATTATTTCAGCCACTCCTACATAAAACATAAGCATCTAAGAGTTAACCTCTAAACTCACTGAAGACTGACAAAAGAAAGGGGGAGAAGGACTTTTAAGAACCAAGCTGCAATGGGAATTGCTTCACCCAAAATTGAGTTCACAGCCTTTGTTGAGACTTTCTAACCGGGAAAATAAACATCTTAAACTTTAGCCAGATGAACTTGTCCCATTTTGTCAGAAAGAGAATTTGGATTCAAATGTAAACTGGTGAGATTATAATTTTCTGCCTCGTAACTAAAATTGTACAATGACAATGATAAGACCTTGTGCACATGTGTGTTCATGTGTATTATTCATGTGGTCTTGTTGCATGCTTTGTCTATGTAAACCCTTTACAGATTCTGTTCAAACTAACTCAGTTAAATGAGAGCTCACATAAAATAAAACTGCTGAAATTATACTAATTAACCCAAATGCCTTTAGTCCATATGACTA